CTAAAGCCAAAGTCAGTTGCACGCGGGCACAGTCGTTTTGCACACAGTAATCTTTGATTGTACGCCGGGAATTCTGATTTGCATGCGGGAATTTCTGATTGCACGGCCGATTTCTGGTGAAAAAGGGCAAGAAATCCAGACTGGGCCGCAACTGCTTCATCTTCTGGGATAACGACAAACAAAATGTGATGTGGAATCTAAGCCTTAGATTCTGAGGCAAGCATTTCAGTGTGCTTCTCTCTCATGTCTGCGAGATCAATTGAAGGCTCTCGGTTCGAACAGAGCCATTCCGATAGACTTTCAACTTTTCCGAGGCGCTCAATGCATTTCCTATTATGGGATTTGACAGAAATCAATTTATTGCGTCGATTTTTCTTGCATTATATTCGCCTGATGTTAATTCGTATCTTATTAAGTATGAAACGCTAATAGATCCCAGTCCACCATACTGTGCTAATTTTGGCTTTTTTTTACAATTTGCAAACGTCGTGGTGTCGTGGACGAAAAATATGGCCAATTTACCAGTCAAAGGCGAATATTAACAACCACAGAACATTACCCAATGTGGCTTATTGTAATCGCTTTCCATTTTCATGTAGTCAGCCATATTTTATCGTCTGACTCCATTTTTATGTAGCGATTTTAATGCCATTGCGTGGCGTGGCTCTGTGGTACTCGATCCATACATATATATATAGAACTAGAGCGCGCTTCGGTCTTGTTCTGCGAGATCAACTGAAGACTTTATGAGATAAGTCGAAAACAATTGTTTACACTTATATATATTGTGTAATCGCCCAAACAACCGCATTTTATCAGGAACGAGATCCACATCAGGCTCTAAATTCCTAACTCGAATATAATTGCATTTGAATATCCAGAAAGTGGTACATGTAGGCTACCAGTGCAGATGGTCAGTCAAATACATAAATGGGTGACAAATAGTTTTATGGCTAATAGCAAAATAATACAAATCTAAATCTGGGAACAATCCCCTAAAATGTAAAGCTGGCGAGCATACTACTGTTGTATAGTATGAGCAGTTGATGAAAATGAAAAAAAAAATAAAATTAGGATGTCCAAAACGAATTGAATATTCAAACATATTAGAAGTTTATTATATTCGATATTGTAGATTCTTAGATTTTAGTAAAATTTTGAAATATTTGAATTTGCAAAATTGTCGATTTTTAGAACTAAATTTGGCACCAACCAAGCAAAGCACTGGTTCATCAAATGCATGCGAATGAGACGCGAGAACAATATTCTAATATGTGTTAGAAATATATATATTACAAATATATTACTATTACAAATATATATGATGAAAGCAAAAATATACAAAACATTGTAATGTTCCGTTCTTCACATGAAGCACTCTGTCTCGGGGACTTTAACAGCCTCCATGATTTCACATGCTTGCGCAACTGATATGATTGCTCGTGACGCTCAAATCATTTTTACTGCTTCTAAATGCTGTAATCTGATGCCTAATTTTTGTAGATGAATCACTGATGTGCCAGTATCGGTCGTCATGAAGCACATCGTTTAATTTTTTTTTGCGGTGTCCACTTCTGCTTTACAATTGAATGTAGCTTTCTTTTTGTCATCGATTTTGTTCTTCGACCTGCAAATAATTTAGATAACTATGTTCAGATGAGTTGGTGGAGGCATGAGGGTTGAAAGAAAACCAACCTTGCACATCATATACGCTAGCAAGATTATGATACAGATAACTGTATACTGCAATACCACTTGTGGAAATTAGCAATTTGGTATAAATGACACTTACCAGAACCTAAAGACAAGTATACGCTTCGTCTGTAAAAATTTTGCATATACATTAACTTATGAAACCATGAATGTTTTTTTGCATCCATATGCGGAGGACTGAGTAACAACATATACGAAAAAGCAGGCCAAAACCAAGGAGCAGCATGAAGTCGGCTTGGAAGCATAAATGTCAAAATGGCGGCGATCAATAGATCCTGCAATAAGACAACACAAAACAAGAATGAAGATCGTTCCACATATATTTCCACTTCAGCGATTTCAAGCAATTTCGCGGCACTGGTGATAGGATAGGATTTTCATATTTATTCCGGGGCAAAGAAAACCGATGAAACGACTTAAAATACGACGAAATTCGATAGGACGGATTAATCATATGGCGAGCCACGATCTCGCGTCTGGTTACCACTTTATTCCGGTTATGGGATTTGTAAGCCAGTTTTTTTTTTACAGGTGTATAAGACACAACAGTTTGCAAGAAGTATTGGGTTGCGTACAAATCGCATTGAACCAAAAAGAACCAATAGTTTCCATGGTTTTTATTTTTTATTCAAACAAACGTAAAACGGCGGTTTGTTGTTTGTTCATAAAAATTAGGGACCTCCTGAAGTATGCGCACCATGATGGCGCACAACCTGAACCCAGGTTGTGTACCAGGTTAGGGTTCAGATTATGCGACATCTTGGTGCGCATACTTCAGGAGTACCAAACTCAGTCCGATACTGATTTTGAGAAAAGGCCATAAAGCCTAAAGCACAAACGAACAATCTGAGCATATTATTGACGGTGCGCCTTATGGTCCGTAAATACTGTGATATATGAATTTCTGGACAATCTTGGAATTGAAGAAGTGTGCTGAAGGCCTACTTTACGACGTCAAACTTGTTCAGTGACGTGAGACATTTATGAGGTACTTAGCATTTTGTGCTTGCTATAGAAATTGAAATAGGTAATATATGGCGCATTTAGACCTCCTGAAGTGTGCGCACCAAGATGGCGCACAACCTGAACTAAGGTTGTGTACCAGATAAGAGTTCAGATTGTGCGATATCTTGGTGGTACTTCAGGAGTACCACGCATTTTAGTCAAGAAATATCGACTTGAAATTTTTTTCGGGGATTAGGAAGCATCTGAAGACAATATGACAATATGAGGTCAATTTGCTTATTTAAGACTGTCTGTCTTTTTCGTTGACTTTTTTTGGTCTGCTCAAATTTGATAAACTTTTTCAAGCGAAGCTGACGGACATGACTTACCATACACAGCGATACCTTGAACTGCAAATGCGAAGCAACGACTTGGATTGACCAACTGATTGATAAAGGAGTCAATAGCGATTGACGGATTATATTACATATTCCCATGAATCAAAATGAAACAGCATAATTTTGAGTGATAAATCGGATCACATACGACGCAGAAGAGTTAATTTTGAAAGAACAGAAAATAATAACCTTACAGCTATTACTTTCATTATAAGTTCTAAAATGCTGATCAATCAGTTAGAAGCGAAAAAGGCAATTGATCCCAACAACACCGATTTAACAAAAAGTTCCATATGGACATTTCGCGTTGTATTATTACTTATTATTTATGCATATTTTGGGGAGTGTATTTCGCTGGTGATAAAGATTTACGCTGTCGGTGTGTGCTTCGATAAACGGTCGGGTGCGGTTTCTTTGGTTATATGTGTTATGACTAGGAACAAAAAACTGATAAACATTCTTTACAGCTGATCTGGACCAAAATCGAATGGTAAGTTGAAGGGCGAATAATCATATTTTATATTCTTGGAATAAATACTGGGAAATCCGATTTTTTCATGGGATCTGCAAGTACTGAGTTGGTACCAAGTATCTGAAGTAGTACTGCGCTGGCAAGCACGCGTGCTGCAACGCCTTATATACGCCCACTATCATGACGTAAGCGGAGCAGCCTATTAAACCAGATTTGACAAGATGTAACCGGTCGTGCGTATAACTAAGCATGCTAACATTTTTTCAAATTGGGTATTATGAATGATCTCGCATGGCTAGAAATAAGCCTGCTGTAATGGTTGAAAATCTGGGAGCTGAGATACTGTTCGCGTTTGCAAGATTACCAAGCCAGGCTTGTTGAAGCGTTTGTGTTTTAATTTAGTGTAAGTTACATTGTGGAGAAGGGACAATATTGCCAAAGCAACGTAGTGCAGATTCTCATGAAATGCATAAAACTCATTGACGTAACACAAAAACATATCAAATCTAAAATACATGAATGCGAAACATCAATATATTTTTGTTCGCAAAGAAACGGAGAATGTTACCGTAAATGTAACACAACAGCCAAATCCCAAATAAATCTATTTGAAAAGCACAATATTTGTGACAGATATGTGATGTGTAATAGCAACCGTAATTGTTTCTGATTCATTGCTACTGATGTTTTTCTGTAGCAGTTTCGTAGAGTGTGTGCAATCAGCATTTCTGTGGGTTAAGCCTAATGTGGCTAACATGCATTACGCGACTTGCAGCAGGGTAAAAGAAAAAACTAGTCAGAGTTACACAAATATATATGTGGCAAATTTTTAAAATGTATATTCAAAGTGACTTCTCGTACGTTTATAGGTATATATACTCTAGTATATCTTGCTGGTGTATCGCGCCTGCGGCAAAGAGTCGAAAATCCGTTGCTGCTCATTAGCTTGTTAGGCAGTTACTGTTTCAAAACTAATTGTTAACTATTAAAAAGTTTATGCCCTACTCAAGTATAGGAATGAATAAGGGTCACAGATGTACATGCTTTCAAAATTTTGCCATGGGCGCAGTTTTATGTAGATACGCCACTGCCGTCATGTTGTGGACGAATAATTGTATTTGCGAAAATAAATTGGTCAAAATTTGCAATGATGTATCACGAATATAAATGAAAGTTGAATATTGTATATTGTTTTATATTAAATTTAGTTGGGTACCTAACTCCACTATGACGAGTAGCACGAATCAAAAAGACTAGCTAATTTATACTGAAAGTAGTACCTCTCAAGAGATCGATATGACGTGTTCATAGTATATGTATATATCATTCAGCCGTTTACAATGTATGCATTTTGCCTTTAAGCATTGCAACAGACAACTATGAAATAGCAGGCTAATGTCACTACAGGACGTAAAATTCCATTTTATCATGGCAGGTTGCAAAAAGATTGCTGGTAGATATTAACTAACCGAGCAAAAATCACTTGCAGTGGTAACTGGCATGTGTCAGGTTTTTTTTACCATAAAGTGTTGTTAAATGTTTTCAGAGTCATTGTGCCTCATTCGGTTTAGTAAGCATGTGATCTATCCATTTTGAGTACTCCGTATGTGATAAAGTTACCACTGGATTGTACAATTGACGATATCGAAAATTTGCTTCACCTATTTTGGAAAATAGCATACTTGAATTGAAGACTTTGAATATGCATCGATTATTCAAGATAAATCATGCGGAACGCGTCTGCCGGAAAGCAGCAAGTTCGCGGCAAAAGAAAATTGAACGGAAGATAGGATCGCGTCCTATAAATCGAACAAGTACGATCAACACCTCGAATATTGTTACGCACGAATCATTGAAACAAATCGACCAAGTTGATGCAATAAATCTGAAGAATATCTCGAAAAATATTTTTGCACCAGAAAACGTTAGCTTTGGCAATATGACGACTTATGAAATGATGAGATCAATTCTCGTTCTCACGATCTGCTCTCTTCCAAGACTAGCCGAGAATGCGCCAAAGGTATCAACCGTTTTTTAATCAGTTCACAACTCTGTAAAATAACGAGGTAAATTTAGAATCGTTAACAAATAATGTTTTCAAGTTTATGGAGCGTACTGACGGATTTAAGTGGAGTGAATGCCTCGCGAGGTTGGTAATCTCTGCCGTAGACAAATCATACCTTGGGGATAAAAACCAATAGTATATTTTAATGACAATCCGATTGAATGTCAGTTTATTTTACTGCATCATTATTTAGATTCTTGAAGTTGCTCGGAAATATATGGGAAAGAAGATTTTTTCTAAGGTTATGCGCATGACGTTCTATGGTCAATTTGTCTCGGGAAATAATCTTGAAGAAATTAACCAAACTATAACTAAACTCGAACAGTGCGATGTTCTTCCGATGCTAGCCGTTACAATCGAAGACCAAATTGCTGGCAGTGAACTAATCGGGTACTATTTATATTGGTCATCATCCACTTGTTAGACAAAAACTTTCTTCGGCGTAGCATACGACGGATTATGATAAAATTTCACCCATCAAGAATCTTCGGTACTCCCGAAGTATGTGAACTAAGATGGCGGACACGGAAACGTAGTATGTGTACCAGATGGGGTTAGGCCACAATTTCAGGTACAAATACTACGGGAGTCACTTGGCTAGTCCCCGAACTTGTAATAGAACTAAAATAAAAAAAATTGGAATAAAATTATGGCCTAACCTGGTACATATACTACGTTCCGGTGTCCGCCATCTTGGTTCACATACTTCGAGAGTACCGACTATTATGGCGTCATTTCATCGCGAAGTGAACACGGGTTTATTATTTCTTAGCTAAATATTATTTTTTAAAATGAACCTGAACGTCCCCTAAATAAAAAAAAAACTTTACTTTTTTTTTCATGTGAAGATGTAAATAAGTTCCACAAATGATTTAAGATTGCTTATTTAGTTTGACTACTGTAGCACAATATTATTCAAACTTCAAAATCGGTTTTATAGATGCATCATATGAATGATACTGATATTTTGTTCTTTTTATCTAAGCGTTGTTCTATGGGGTTTGTGCACTATTTATTTAATGCTTACGTGAACTTGCTGTTTAATTATTGACAGAGATGAATTGTACGAACACAACACATCTAAAGTTCTTCATTGCATCGACGTGGCTAGCAGTACCAGACGTTCCGATAAGCCTTGTATGATGCAACTTAAGTTAACTGCTCTGTTTAATTTTGATCTTTTGGTAGGTTTCATGTATATAATTCATGTAATAATATTCATGTATATCATTATAAAACCACATCGTTTGTCTGAGATAAACTTGACTTCTTAATTAAATATGTAACTTTAAGTAGTTCTTGTTCAATGGGCCAGAGTAAAAGTGCGTACATAAGGTCCATGCCAGCATCCTTTATCATAACATATTGGCCATAGAAGGTTAACAAAATTGCCAATTAAACACACCGATTGTGTCGTTTGTTGACGCATAATATTTGCAAGTATATTTGTGTATATTTCCTGTGCGACCTTTGAGAGAAATACTTTTGGTGCTAGAGAAAGTAAATAAATTTTAAGTTGCCTGCTGATAAGCGACATTTTTCAGAAGTAATTAAATTGTCCTGTTCATTTATAAAAATTACATCTGGGCCTGTATACAAATTGAAGGTGACCGTACATTTGAACCCACGTACATTTGAACCTATGTGTATATCCGCGGGTTCAATCTATATGCGGGTGCTGAAACCCATGGGTTAGGGTTAGTATGAGTTCAAATATCCATAAAACAAAAAAAATCCATAGGTGCAATAGTATGCAGGTGCAATCGTCGTGGGTTCAAATGTAATGGAACCAAATTGAAGGCAAACACATTAGCGGATTCTTCAGGTCATGGACTCGAAAAATATTTATATATGTAACACTGATCTTAAAATTATGACGAAATTTATCAAGCACTTCTGTATCGACATATAAAAACTTTGCACCTACAAGGTGCCCAACAAATTGCAAGCTTTTTTACATACGTTTGCTCAGAGCAATGTTAGTAAAGATCATTTGGCGTAAATATATTAGCTTTCGACGATTTTAGGAGATAGCTGTTGACACAATTCTTTAGACAATTTGAGTCTACACTATCGTGAGAAACAGCTGGGGAATTCTCATGAAAATCTCCACTTTTATATTGCGAGTATGGCGATAGTCGGTTTTAATAATGATGTATTTTGTAAAATTTCCAGGAAATATTATCATCCAAACTGAAAACGAATTCACAATTGACAACAACTCAACTAGCGACTGGGATTGAAAATGGCGCCCCGAAGAATGAATTGGTATGGCGTATTCCCTACAACAAGGCAAAATTTATTAACTACGCACATAGTATTTGAATCAGTTTAAAAACAAAAATGTAATAATAACTCGTTGGACAATGCTTGGGATTTGCGTATGTTTGTACCATTCTGTTACGTAACTTGTATTTCCAATTTCAGTCAGAAATATTACCCTTACTGACAAAACAGCAAGTTACTGAATTGGCTTCCGGATTGCATCGTCTGATTCGTATCGTAAACAAAGCAGACGAAAATGATGTCACGATTTTAACTGACGCAGAATACACTTGGGTGAATCCTGCGATTCATTATATCAGTATCGGATTTATGAAGGCATACAACAAAACACATGCCCGAGTTTATACAACATATCAAGGATATTTAAAGGTATAAATTGGATACATTTCGTTATATTTTCATTATAAGCAAGAAATTAAAGTTCGATATATGTAATTATATTCAACTGTTTTATCCCGAGACTTCAATAAAACTCTAAACTTCAGTTAGCTACTGGAAACTATATTAGTACGGTGTTATTCCAAGAATCGTTTCGATTTCATGTTTCTTCAAATAGTTCCATCATTATTCAAATATACTGTTAATCTAGTCATGGGTGACCCCTACTTCAATGCTACAGCTGAAGGTTTTTTTTCTGAGAACTGAGTGAAAACATTTTGTTTGTTCAGGAAACTCGCGACCTAATTCAAGTTCATGCAAATGAATGTCATGACAACGGGGTTTATTTCGGTTTCAAACTTGTTCGTGGTGCATATTTGATTCCGGAAACATTACGATTTGGAAGACACCCATTATGTCTATGCGACAATTTGGAAGCAACAAATGACAAGTATATAAATTTACTTATGATTTTAAACAATACTTTTTAAATATTGAACCAGGTCACCGACTGTGAGCATTTGGTGTTATTTTTCATTTATGTTCATTAAACCATGACGACATTTGACGTCTACGTATACCTACGACTCCACATGATAAAAATGATAAGTTAAATTAAAACGTTTTGTTTAGCTTTGTATTCTGATAGTTTTTATTTCAATTTCGGTTTATCATAGTTTGGAAAGAGAGTAAAACTTGCAACTGTGGCCGTTCGATATTTTGTTATGCCGTCTAGTTCGGAATAGGATATTCCCACGCAACGGCGCACGCAAAATTTGAGCTGTGCAACGCCGCGACCTCGCTCTATCGCAGTGCTGCCACTCAGATTATTTTTAAGATATCACCGGAAGAAAAATTGCAAGATCTGCAATTAAATTCCAAGGAGTAAAATTCATTTTTGTACAATAAAATACTGATGCCTCACGTTAATTAGTTTATATTCTAAGATATTCCGTGGGAAAAAGTTGATGGCGATCCCGATGGTATTATTTGTTCTAGTCCGGAACTGTGTGGACAGTGCGAAAACGCCCTGTTATGCGATGATCACACATCATGTTTGATAAATAATCTTTGAAAACCATATCGTAGTCACTGAAGTTATGACTCGGGTATGTAACTTTTCGTGCGATATACCTTCTTATCGGTACGTAACCGGCGCAATACCGATGTTTACTCCCTCAATAAACACGTCACGCCAAAGAACAAAATCGACAATGCTAACAATATTGACCTGTAATAATAGCATTCGTTCATTAACCTTTTCTATCGTGCGTTAAATTTAAACGGCGTTTCCCTTTTCGAAAGCTTGCTCATTGCAATGCAATACTACTTTTAAGGCACTTTGTTTTAGATCAGCAGGAAACGTGGGTACAATTATTTATTTGGTCCATTTTTCATTTGATTCTGATGTACGGAATTTGTGTAATAGGATTGCCTAATTTATTGCGCACAATGTTTTCATCTGAATAACCTGATGAACGCTGAAATAAACACAAAGCCTAGTAATTTAAGTTTTGATTGTAGACTGGAAGTGTTATCTTATGTTACCCTGTTTAAACAGGGTAAGGCAAAAATACCCACATTTTAGTTTTTAAAACTATGAATAAGAATAGCCCTTGTTAAATTTTTATTACCTTAACAAGGTATTTGTAATTTTGTTTAAAAAACTCTTTGAAAGCAACATCTTTAAGATGCTCCCCAGACTGTTATCCCTACTTTTATATATACATATGATCACAATTTAAAGCTACAATGCTTGTGTGCAAGACATTTTCCAAATGGACGAAGAAAAAGTTCAAGTAATGTTTGCTACTCATAACGAGGACAGTGTTCGTTTAGTAGCGGATTTGTTGGCAAGACGAAAACACAAAGAGAGTGAATCAGCGACAGTTTCAAACATTCGATTCGGCCAATTATATGGAATGGCTGACTATATGTCTTTTACATTGAGTGAGTATATATAACCTTTTATATTACCATTTTTGAAAAACATTTTTACTTTGTATACATTTTGATAGAAATAAAGTTTTACCAGTGTTGGGGGGATTCGAACTGGGACTACTCGAACTTGACTAACTACTTGTGGTGTAAGGATTTGAACATATCACTGATTTGAACAATTTACCTGGAAAAGACTTCAATCCACATATAATTACAATGTCAATATATTGCATCAACATTTTTTCAGGTAAAATGGGTTATGAAGTTTACAAGTCTCTTCCGTACGGTTCGGTGGAAGAAACAATGCCGTATCTTTGTAGGAGAGCCAAAGAAAATACGTTGTTTCTTAGTGGAGTTAGGAAGGAGATGATAATGTTGAGAAAAGGTTTGGCGATGAAACTTGGCCGTTCCAAAAATAAAAATCAATACTGCACTAATGACTAAAATCATACCCAGCATTCAACGTGACAATACGTGGAGGAAGTCAGTAGTTTTAAACACAATGATCTAGAGAAGGCCTGGGCAAGTTGCGGCCCGCGGGCCACATCCGGCCCGCGGCAACGTTTTATCCGGCCCGCGAGCAAGGTTCTAGATTTAGACATTTTTTTTTCATTTACATATAAAATATACTTTGATTGCAAACAAAAGAATTTTAGGACAATGAAAAAGTCGATAATAACATTCGACTAAATTTCCTTTAAATCGCCGATTGTTTTCGTCATCTCGAGGTGTTATTTATATTTTAGAACGTAAACATCTTTACGTCGGCGATTAGTCTCCCCAAGTCACGAATTTTCCTTAACACATATATGTCTTGCATACGGAACTGTGAAACCATTGAAAAAAAAAAACGAGGTATTATATAACCATCGGCGACGAGATGCTAAAGATGAATGAAGGAGTGAATCTGCAAGCAACCTAAATCTAGATTTAGGGCGGCAATTGAAAATACCAAAAATTGAACAGAAACAAGTTATGATTCAAACGGCTCGCGACAGATTGAAAACGCTTTTGTGAAAATGGAAACTAAAAAATTTCTGGTGCCCACGGCACACATTTTAATTGCGTATAGCCTTCGTGGGCGCGATGTACCTTTTGATCAATTCTAAAACTACCGACGGGGCCTGATTTATAAGATAATTAATGTAAGGTAAACTCAATCGATTTTTATGTAACTAAAAAGAATTTTACTCGATGTACTTTTATCGCAGACGTGGGGATTTTTCTGATTGTAAAATCTTTAAAACAGAGCTAAGTCAATGTTGCAGGAACAGATCAGATTTGTCGAATTCACAAAATCGCAAAACACGAATAAAAATATTCTGGCACGTAACCTCACATTTTAATATCCGCGGAATGCGGTGGTATTTCAGAATTCCAATGCTTATATTTATCAGAGCAGCCGCGGGTTGGGTTGAAAACAACAAGACATTTCAATGTGCCCGTATCAATGCGTTTTAAATATATCCGTATCGCAAAAATAGATATAGTATATATATTCAGTATATTTCACATTTTTAAATCTGCAGACAGCCGGGGTATTTTAAAGCAGACTTTTAAGCTCGCAACGCCTTCCGATGCATTAAAATTTCGGCGAACCTTGTTCACCTTAAAAATGCTATGATGACAGCAAAATTATATGAATCACGATGTTTGGCCACCGAAAGCATGGTCCTAATTCCGCATTGTTACTCACTTTCCACCATTAATGACAAAATTCGGCATTGTTATGCAAGCGTTCCGTTTCTCCGATCCAATGTATTGTCTCGAAATCGCCAGATTTACGTTTTAAACTAGTTTTATTAAATGCGCTTCGAATAAAAATTTCTAACAAAGTGCAATAAATATAGTACTCATTTATATACTTACTTATATATAGTACGTATTTAAATATGTAAAAAAATAAAATAAAAACGCGCAATTGACTCTACTTAGTCCGTCCCGCCACTGCATTTTGAATATTCAATGTGGCCCGATACCAAAAATAATTGCCCAGCCCTGAGAGTGAATTTACATAGTAAAAAAATTATCAAAATCAAATAACAATTCATTTTAGTTTATCCAACCTTACCGTCTTTATAGTTTTAGTTGCTATTTTTTGCAATGTAATATTTTATGTTCATATATATCTATATATATAACAAGTTTTATTGGGAACGAAACATGGTGAGATGGCGATTTTACTTGGTGATCACGCTTAGTGCATTTTCCTTATTTGTAATATTTTTGTTTTTCCATTCCCTTCACCTATCTAAACTTTTGCCGTATAGTCTACCGTAATTTGTCTCAAATATATTTTAGAAAATATCTACTTACTGTCACAATAATTTTTATTATTTTTTTAAACGGTTGCATATTTGGTGAATATGCTACCTATTTGCCAAAATTGCTTTTCGGTGCAGATTCTCTTTCGGAGTGTTTTGGTGCTTCATTTCTGCTAGCTTGGCAAGAGTAACAGAAACGAAACGTTATAACGAAAAATGTTTTGTGGCAAATTTTGATTCCATATAGTATTTTAAAACTTTGTTTGGGAGACTCTAATTTTTAAAAGGCAACCCTGCAGAAATCGACCGATAATAATTAGTATGGTCCGTTGATAAGTATAAGTTTATTTCGACTCCATAATCAGCAATAGACGATAAAAAAAATAGATAAAAGCAAAAAGCAAAAGTAACTGATTATAGAATCGGGAAAGCGAACAAAACCTAGAGTAAGGTTTGAAGCGTACAGATTTTAGATGGAAAGGTATTGATAAAAGAAGTAGTACGTGTTCGCTCACCCAAACGTAGCTTATCGGCGTAATTTTGCATTAGGTTAAAGGCATTCATAGCATTCTGTATTGTTGTTTTGAATAGTAGGCAGGTCATATTGGGCGTTGAAAAAAATTGGAAAACGTCATCGTAGATTTAAATACATGAAAATATAAATAATATTGCTGCATAATTAGAAATAATAGTAAACTTGGGCTAAAATATACTCGATCTCCGTAGTGGCCGTAACATATTTTCAAGTGAATAACGCGCAATGTGCTATTTCTTTTGCCTCAAATCATATAGATTCAAAATCATTTGTGCAAAAGTAAACTCATCTAAAAATGTGAGATTTAAGAAGACACGCCGCTACGTTAACAAATTAGTAATTATCCAGTTGGGGTTCGGGTCAAGGTTAGGAATGATTTGAAAATATGAATTCCCAGCGCGATCTGCATTCCTCCCCCTGGATAGATTTGATACTTTATGTGGTATTTTTCTGAATATTAAATCCATTTGTTACTTTGCCGTTATCTAAACGATGTTCATACCAATTTGAGCTTTCGAAACCGATTTTTTCGTACGGCTCTTTATGCTAAACCTCACCAGATAGCAGTTTGTGAAGACAAATAAATAATTGTTGGTATATGCAACACATACGGGAATAACCCAATTTTTAAGGCCTAATAAATACTGTTTAGTTTATTTGCAATTGACAAAACGGACGAGGACACCAGTGCTGTATTAGGCTACCAATCAACAATTGCAATTAATACAAACAAAAATCAGATACTTGGCGGGTGATCGTAAAACATTGTAGCCTACAGCTCATACATTGACCCTATAATTAATCAGATAAATCAAGAACGGTTAAAATCAGCAAACAAGTCTTGAGCATTTTATCAGATACAAACAATAAACTTCCTAGTAATAACATCATGGAATTTGAGAAAAATCGCATATGCAAACACGTTGTTTTAGTCAAAAGTGGAAAACATTGCGAAATTGAACTTGTGATATGAAGGGAAATTTGGTATAAATAGAAAAGAATTCGAAATATTTGGTCTGAAATCCAAAGGTGTGATATTTCCGTCTTGCGGAACGATATCAAAAACAAAAATTAGTATTCACGGAATAGTTAATACTGGGGATCTGGGGTCTGCGTGCCTTTCGAAACATCTTCGAACGTATTTTATAGAACTATAATCATGTTTATTCTTCCAAACTCAACACAACAACAAGAATATATCTAAACAATGTACATTTGGTGTCAAATTATACAAAAGTATTGGGTCGGTCTTCGTTCTGTGGCGTCTATAAAGTCGTCAAAGCCGTCGTCGAAGCAAGTGCTACGTTAATTTTAGGGAGAACCAGCATTTTTGTTTGATGTTTTCCCGAGCACCGATTTCCTTGTTTATCTCCGTAACAATTACAAATCAGCAATAAGGTAACAACGACGTAACAAAGCGAATTCATGCCGCCGATCAGACAGATATTCGAGTGTGAATAAACATTGCCTCTTTTGGTAGTTTTTTGTGTTACTCGTCAGTTTTTAGTTGTGTTCCTAAAAAATAGTGTTAACCAAATAACTTGATGGTCATTATGTATTCCGAGGACCTTTATTTTCGTTACAATATATATTTAAAAATTGATATCGGTAACTTTGCGATAGACTAGCCTAAAATTATCTATCAGTATTTATAAGTGCTACTTATAGCTATAGTTTTGAACATATGAGCCAGTTTGTGAGCGCCAACTCTCTAAAAAATTCTGAAAATCAGCCCTGAAAATTTTGCAATGATAAAGTATAGGATGAATATTTCCGAGGTCAAGGGTCGAAGAAAAGTCAATTATGTAGCCGTTCGCACATCGATTAATTTTGTCGATAAAACGATCTATAAATAATTTGGGGTGAACAGAATTGATTAGACAAGAATACTGGGTAATGTTTGTAGATGATTTTATTGAATTTGCTATACTTGAATTCCTCCATTGGACACAATATGGACCTTTCCCCGAGCATCGACATCCTTGTTTACTTCGTGACATTGGCCAATCAGCACGATGCAAAAAGTGACGTAACAATGCTTCCTTTTCGCTTCCGCTCAGACACTTTTCTCACTCAGGCAGATTTTCAGGCGTGGTCGTAAACATTACCTCGTTTTCGCGTTTTTCAACTTTATTTGTTAGTTTTCAGTTGTGTTTCGGAAATTTAAATATAAATCAGATAATTCAATGGCCCTTGTAGATTATAAGCGACTTAACACTTATGATGAGGCTCTACAAGAAGCCTATAACGTGTTGGGCGATGACACTTCGCGCTATTAACTTCCCCTGATGTATAACCTGCCAGGTTTCTCGATAATTAACAACTCCACAACTTTGAATATGAACGAAATGTAATGCAGTCGATAAAATACCAGTCTACATGCACAAGTACGATATAGACGAATAAATAAACAACGAAATTGTGTGATGATAAGAACAAATAATTCCAGTATTGTAGAGACACAAACGATCACAGTATTGTAGAATGTAGACGTCCAACTAAAGTTATGTTGAGGTTGAGGTTGAGGGTTGCTAAAGTTTACGACCAACCCAACAGGCAGGTTAATAACATACTTAATTCTAAAGATGCAAACAATAGCAACATTACAATATGAAAACAAATCAAACCCTATTATTTAACTTAAAGACAAGCGAATAAATCCGCCCATTACGGCATATGAATTAGCATTACTAACAGACTAACCGGCAAACTCTTAGCACAAATAAATTGTAAACAGCCGACTGGCAATGATTTGAAATAATAAACAAACACAAAAACGAGAGAAAAGAAAAATCGATAAAAGACTTTGTTCCCGCCGACAGGCCTATTCCTACCCACGAACAGATGGTGCAATCGCCTTGAAGGGAGTAGTTTATTAGCGGTCATTCGACAAAAGTGCAATGACCGATTTCTCTCGAAATAACCCCGGGTCAAATATATGCAAAATAAAACAAAGAAACTTTGTCTGTAACATTCCCGGCCTCAAAATAACGAATTGAACAAAAGTTATTTTCAAACATTTAAACAAAATACAGACAAGTTTCTTTCCCATCACTAGTTAACATTTGGTGCAATTCGAAACGAAATGTGTAAATCAAAATATGTACAAATCAAGGTGATTCTAAGTAACATAGCTTCCTTATGTCCCGAATGTAAGTCGACTTTGCTGTTCTAACGCGAACTCGACGAACATTTCCATATTGGTCTGGATAAACCTCTTCCACAAGAGCTTTAGGCCAAGACCCACGAGGAGAGTTCTCATCCATAACCAGCACTAAATCTCCAACAGCAAAATTCCTCTTTTGTTGTTGCCATTTTTGACGAGTCTGTAGTATTTGCAAATACTCCTTCACCCAACGATTCCAAAATTGATCTGCCATCCACTGAACCAACTTCCATGATTTTCTGTATCCATCAGCCTTGAGAAATATATCAGATGGATATGAAGGATCTAGACGTCCAGTCAGTAACATTCCAGGTGTTAACGCTTTCAAATCCTTAGGGTCATCTCCAACGGCTGTGATTGGTCGGTTATTCAGTATCCTTTCTACTTGTGTCAGGAATGTGTAGAAAGATGCCTCAGTCAGCTGCCGTTCCCTAACAAGAGCAGTTAACACTTTTCTGACAGAGCGTATCATGCGTTCCCAACAACCGCCCCAATGACTGGCAGCAGGAGGGTTAAAATTCCACTTTATTTCTCTTTGGCTGAGACTCTGATGAACCGACTCGTTCCATCTTTGCACACCCTCCTTCAGATATTTGTTAGATGCAGTAAAATTTGTACCATTGTCAGAAAACACTTCCAAAGGCAAACCCCGTCTTGCAGTAAAACAATCAAAGGCCTCAAGAAATACTGATGCGTCCAAAGAATTGACAACTTCAATATGGAGAGCTCTAGTAGCCATGCAGGTGAATATAGCAGCCCATCTTTTGACTTCACTCCGGCCAGACTTGATCAATACCGGTCCCATCAAATCTACTCCTGTACTTGCAAAGGGAGAATTTCCTGGTGTTACTCTAACTTCTGGTAATGGTGCCATAATTTGTGTTCCAGACTTAGAATGCATCATTTTACACTTCAGACATCTTCGTATTCGATTTCTGATTGCAGAATGCCCTTTGATTATCCAAAACTTTTCCCTGATCACAGACAAAATGTGCAATACACCACTGTGTCCTTCTTGATGATGATAATGGTCGATTATCAAGTCTGTAACATGATGATGATATGGTAAAATCAGTTGATGCTTCGATTCTCGAGATAAACTTGAGCGCTGAAGTCTTCCACCAACGCAAATTACTCCATCGATCAAGCATGGTGTCAAACTCTTCAAACTTGATGATTTAGTCAGTTTCACATCTTCACTAGAAAATGCTTCATCTTGTACAAGTCGAATGACATTAGTTGATGCCATCTTGAGTTCATCAACACTCAATCCAATTTGATGAAATTTAGGTTCATCCTTCTTACCATACTTCCACAGAAAACATTTCTTGAAGCGACACAACCAGGCAACACTTCTACATAGCTTCGTCCATGATGAATATCTTTCCAAGATTTTGAATAGAGCTGGCTTCGATTTTCCAGTTGTTGCACACACTTGACGTGTCGATTTTGTTTCTGGATCATTATCTGAAACCTGTGGTAATATCTTTGGTCTTTCAGGCCAGTTTTCCTCCGAATCACAAAGAAAGTTTGGTCCCTGAAACCACATGTTGCACTTGTTCAATTTGCTAGGCATTACTCCCCTCGAAGCAACGTCAGCTGGATTATCCTTCGTTCCCACATGACGCCACTGCGATGGCTCTGAAAGTTCATGAATGGTTGCAATTCGATTTGCAACAAAAACTTTAAATCGGGTTGACACATTATTGATGTACTGTAAAACAGACATTGAATCTGTCCAGTAGACGATCCTTTCAAATTTATATTCCAATTCCGATTGAATCATAGCACTTAGTTTTGCTGCAACCACCGCTGCGCACAGTTCTAATCGAGGAATTGATACCGCCTTCAAAGGAGTTACTCTAGATTTTCCTGCGACAAATTCACATTGAACTGCTCCAGAAGTGCTGACAACTCTTACGTAAGAAACTGCTCCAAGACCAGATTCACTGGCATCACAAAAGGTATGCAACTGCATCTTGCATGATTCATACCTAGTTCCATGCAGCCATCTTGGTACCCTCACTTTTGCCAATTCAGATAATTGTCCAATCCAATTCTCCCATAGTTTAATTGCATCCATAGGAAGGTCATCATCCCAGCTGAGATCCTGGGCACACAAACGTTGCAATAACTTCTTCATTGGCAACAGGAATGGGCCCAGCATACCCAACGGATCAAAGACTTGACTCAGCATTGAGAGCAATCCCCTCCGAGTATGTGGTTTCTGCTGAATATCGACTTCAAATACAAAGGAATCTAGTGGAATATTCCACGACAGTCCGAGTACTTTCTGTGACGACACTTTGTCAAGGTTCAAGTTCTCTGATGAAACAGCTCTGTCAACTTCCGGTATAGAATTCATAACTTCAATGCTATTGCTAGAAAACTTCGAAAGATGGAAACCCCCATTTTCTAATAGACCGCAAACTTCTTTGATTCGTTTCAATGCAAGAGGAACAGTCGGCTCAGATCGTTCTAAGTCATCGACATAAAAACTCTTTCTAATAGCATTCAAGGTTTCTTCATCTTCATGGTTCGCATTATCTTCAGCTACTCGTTTTAAAGCGTAACATGCAACGCTTGGCGACCAATTTCCTCCAAAAAGATGAACGTTCATTTGATACTCAGCTACTGGTTGTTTGAGATCACCATCTGGCCACCATAAAAATCTCAATGCTTCACGATCTTCAGGTGTGACTAGAACCTGGTGATACATACTTTTGATATCAGCAACCACAGCAATCTTCTCTTGTCGAAATCTTGACAGGACACCAATTAGCGAATTAGTTTGAGAAGGTCCACATAGAATATTGTCATTAAGAGACGTGTCTTGGTATCTAGCAGAAGCATCAAAAACAATCCGAAACTTTCCTCCTGTGCAGTGATGAGGAAGATACCACGTCTTTTTGGTGTGTTCCAGCTTGTTATCCGAAATTCTGCTTGCATGACCATTCGATATGTATTCTTCCATTTTCTTCTTATATTTATCATGCAATTCTGGATCACGAAGCAATCTTTTCTTCAAATTGTTGAGACGTGACTCAGCAATTTTTATGTTATTTGGCAATTCTGCGTCTTTACTTTTCCACGGAATGCTCACTTGATAATGACCATCCACCTTACAGATGGTATTTGCCATAATTGATAATGCAGCCTTATCTTCTATTGAAGGAGCAGTATCGTATGCATTGCAACCTGAAAACTCCGTTTCAAACGCTTTCTCCATTTGCTCATGTAGCCTCTCATTGTTCAAAGAAATCCATGAAACGTTGTCAACATGAGATTCATCACACTGATTGTAAGTATCATCAGGACCGAACAACGCCCAGCCTAGAGCCGTTCTTGCGGCATATGGTTGACCCTTTTTCCCGCGTCTCATTCCAGAAATTACATGCGCCTCTGGAGCATCCACGCCTACCAAAATCTCAACTTTGGCATTTTCCAGCGTTGGAAAATTCAAGTCCTGAATGTGATTGCATCTTAACGAATCAGCATTCGAAGGAATGTTAATCTCCAGATCGGATGGAAGTCTATCCAGAACTCTGACGCCTTTGATGTGAATTGAATGCACTTCACGCAATCCACGGATATTCAATGATACTCGAGCACTGTCAGTCTTAACGACACCACCCAAGGTTTTCAAAACAATTTCATCTTTGATACCTTTTATGCCAAGCCTCTTCATCAAATCATTTGTACATAGCGATACATCAGAACCATCATCTAGAAAGGCATACGTGTCGCAAGATCGGCCATCCGATCCCCAACATCTAACTGGTACTACCTTCCTACGAATATGTGATGCTGTCTCCCTTGATGAACAAAATGATGATGAAACATGAGCCCCAGTCTCTTCAGCTGGTTCAGACCCGGCCTCCTTCGATGATGAATAACTACTGACTTCATGTTTCTCAGACTGAGTGTCGTCAGTTGAGTTACGCAAGTCAACTTTAGAGTTTGTTTGTCCATTTTTTGAATGCTTAAAGTGTAACAGTGTATGATGTTTTAGATCACAGCCTTCCACTCTACAGTGAATTTTAGATTGACACCGGCTTGTCCAGTGACCAGGAATCAAACAATTAAAACAGATATTCTTCTGTCGCACAAACCTGTGTCTGAATGAAACTTCTTTTTCTTTGAATTTTGCACAATTCCACAATCGATGACTACCGTCACACATCATGCACTTCAACTCATGACTTTTACGTTTTGGAATGTCCTTACTAGAGTTTTCTTCGGATATGAGAAAGGATGACATCTTGCGATTACTACGAGTACCTTCAGAATCGTCAACTTTCCTCTTCCTTTGTGATTCGCGAGCAAGTTTGCCAAAACCTGATCGATTGACATTTGACACAGATTCCATAAATGATAAGAGTGTATCGAAGTTTACCAAATCTCCAGCATTATAACGATCGTTGGCCAAATTTGCAAATTTCCACAATTGCTGAGATGGAAACCTTTTGACAATTTTCCTTAGTACAGTTAAGTCATCCAAATTGGATCTAATACCGAATTGTGAAAATGTTATAAATGTACTTCTTGCTTGAGTAAGCAATTTATCCCAAGCTTCAATGTCATTAACCTTTATTGCGGGTCCCTCACACAACAAATTAAGATGTGTGTCAATAATTAAATGAGTTTGACCATAATTTTTATGAAGAATATTACGAGCCAAATTGTATCCCTCTTCTGATGGTAAATTTCCACATGATTTTATAGCTTCCTTTGCTTCACCAGTGCAATGAGATATTAGATAATTTAATTTTGTAGCAGTGTCCAGTTTGCATGATCCAATATAGTTATTGAATTCACGAACGAATTCAGGATATTTTAGTACGTTCCCGTCAAATACAGAAAGCTTAATCTGAGGTAATGTGAATCCCTGCTTGATTATATTTGCCACATCAGTCATGCCCGCCATCATCGCCCTGGTCAATTGCGCTACAGCATTCAGTGTCATGTTAGGCATTTCAGTAGCAAAAGGCTTGGCCACATCTGGCGCCCTCATGCCTGCCCTAACATCATCATACACGATATCATGCTTGGCAGATTTGAAATCAGGCTTAATCTCTGGCTTGACGTAATTAGGCAACAATAATTGCTCCGCACTAATCTGTGGATCTAGTGGTTGCTCGCAATTATCAGGTAAAATAGGACTCACCAATATCTTCTGAGTCACAGGCACCTCATGCTCCGGGCTTGAGTAATGGATAGGTATGCCTGGATCCAACATGCAAATAGGCCGCTGTACAATTTCTTCCGCAGTAGAATGTTTATCCTGATCCGTATTTACAATTTTGAAAATACTCCTGTTACAATCCTCATTAAAATCTAATATTTCCGATTTATCATCATGTTTATTTATTATTTGTGCATCATGACTTGGCACAGAAAACAGTCCCTTCCCCCCTGGTGTCTTCACGTATTCCATCAATCTCTTCGGTGATAAGGTAGTAAAGGATTCCACATCTTCTTCTTCATCATCCCGCGTTGAGCCTTTGCTTGATCTTGCCGCGACGCTTTCCAATTCTATCTTCGCTTGTTCTGCTTCCGTTTCGGCATCCAATATACTTCGTTTGATTTGAAGTCTATGTTGGACACGTTTGCGCTCAAGTTCATGTTCGACACGTTTGCGCTCAAGTTCATGTTCGACACGTTCGCTCTCAAGCGCAGCTTCCTTCTTCGCCCGCTCCAACTTTAATTGCACTAAACGTAGATTACGCTCGGACATGGTTTGATCAGACTTCAACGACGATGTTCTAGATGTCCGAGACGACGACATTTCGATAAATGCAGAGACGCTTAAATTTCCTTTCAATCGAAGATAGAGTTCACAGGATCGAAGTATCCACGAACGGCGAGTGTCACGAAGCCAATTTTTAGCAACAAATGTAGATTATAAGCGACTTAACACTTATGATGAGGCTCTACAAGAAGCCTATAACGTGTTGGGCGATGACACTTCGCGCTATTAACTTCCCCTGATGTATAACCTGCCAGGTTTCTCGATAATTAACAACTCCACAACTTTGAATATGAACGAAATGTAATGCAGTCGATAAAATACCAGTCTACATGCACAAGTACGATATAGACGAATAAATAAACGACGAAATTGTGTGATGATAAGAACAAATAATTCCAGTATTGTAGAGACACAAACGATCACAGTATTGTAGAATGTAGACGTCCAAATAAAGTTATGTTGAGGTTGAGGTTGAGGGTTGCTAAAGTTTACGACCAACCCAACAGGCAGGTTAATAACATACTTAATTCTAAAGATGCAAACAATAGCAACATTACAATATGAAAACAAATCAAACCCTATTATTTAACTTAAAGACAAGCGAATAAATCCGCTCATTACGGCATATGAATTAGCATTACTAACAGACTAACCGGCAAACTCTTAGCACAAATAAATTGTAAACAGCCGACTGGCAATGATTTGAAATAATAATAATAAACAAACACAAAAACGAGAGAAAAGAAAAATCGATAAAAGACTTTGTTCCCGCCGACAGGCCTATTCCTACCCACGAACAGATGGTGCAATCGCCTTGAAGGGAGTAGTTTATTAGCGGTCATTCGACAAAAGTGCAATGACCGATTTCTCTCGAAATAACCCCGGGTCAAATATATGCAAAATAAAACAAAGAAACTTTGTCTGTAACAGCCCTTCTGTCTTCTTAGGAGTTTTATTTAATTGCAGTAGTAATAAAATTAGTGTAGAAATAGATGTGATAGACTGGGCTAAAATTCTTTACTGGTACTTTTAACACACAGATTGTTGTATGCGATAAATCATAATGATGGTTTGGAACACATACCCCATTTCACAGGCGCCAACTCGCAAAACCACTCTTAATAGGCCGAGAGCCGAGGCGATTTATCTTTCAGTTTCGTAGCGCACATAAAGTAACTACCTGAAAAAGATTTCAAAATGTTCCTTAGAAATTTAGTAACAAATATTGCATTGTTCCCACTTCCAAAAGTTGCACGTTTTACAGAAAAGACGCTTTTACTACAATAAATATGTGTTACCATCTGTCCTATTTTTTCTGCTTTTCCGGTATCATGGGCCAATGAAAGCAGACTTCTGCATGACGTAACAATCAAATTAGTCAGCTGTATATGGATCCCCCGGGGTCGGATGAATATCAGATGTACTACTGCTCGCTTTTGCGTTGAGTACCGGTAGCCTTTGCATAGTTTTTTTTTTTTTTCAGTTATCATTAGTTCAATTATTCCAAGGAGGTGTTGAAAAGTATAAGTAAGATATTAAACACTTGTACATCCTTACCAAAAATAGCAATTTTCGTTGAGCACTAGCTCATAAGACGTTGTTAAATAGGTACGGTGCGGTAACTCCAAGGAAGGCTAGACCTAGAATAATATGTCACAAACAACGATATTTTCTGGCTTGAATGAAAGGTTTATGATTAATTTAATGACTCTTCTTGACTATTCAGCAGACTTTTACTACTATATAGGCCACAGCATATTTGGAAATAGAAATTTAAAGGCTGTTTCTGTAATACACGGTTGTGTATTACAGAAATATGTCGGTTGGTCTGAATCTAAATTCATAGAGTCGACAAGAACATGGGAAGCAATGACAAGTTATGCCGGAGTGAAAAGTAAAGTAGCATTGGAAACGATTGAGAGATGAGAAATCAAGTTGTAGACAGACAGTTGATGTTTTAAAATATAGTCTATAGTCCATACTCATACTGTCAGAGGGCATTTCAGACTCTGATATATCAAAGTTTAGTGTAGATATAGTCTAGTACTAGTATGCAAACACTGCTGGACTGTAGTACATGCAATGAGCATATATACGCTCATTGAGTACATCAGATAAAATGCCATATGTATTCAAGGTATTAGTTAGTATTTAGTGGTATTTTTACACTCATGCTGTTCCAGATATGATTTTTTTCCTTATTTTAGATACTGTACTACAAAAGAAAACGGCAATGTTCCACTAATCCGACCGAACGCAGGCTCTCTAATCCCTGCTGCTATCAGTGCTAAAAAATTGATTAAACAAGAAGTCTTGAAGCGTAAAGGTATATAAGAATCATAATAGGTGCAAACAGCTTAGATGGGCTATCTTTTGAGGTTAACGAGGCATTAATAAATAAAGCTGAGGAATTTGTTTGTTCATTATATGAAGAGGATTTGAAGAATGTAAATGATACCAGGGCACGTCTATTTACCACTGGCAAACATACGGATTATACTCTCCACCCAACAATCATTCACTGAAGAAGCATGTGGCCCTCAAATCAGTTCTTGAGTTGGCAAACTGGAAGTGTAAGAAAAATAGTCAAAATAATTTATGCAAGTGTGCCAAAATTAACATATACTGCACAGATTTTTGTTTTTGTATTGACTATAAAAATCACAGTACACATATAGAGGAAAAGTCGATTTTCGAGATAGCGGATTTCAAAAACAATTCAGAAGAAAGTGAATTAGATATTGCAGTGGATTTAATAAGTATCATTTATTTGTTTTGTTTTTCGGACATTTGTTAGTGTTGTAGTCCTGTTTCTAGAAATAATATTGCCTTTGTTCAAATACATAACCACATTAACTAAAAAAGACCAATTGTATATTTCTGATCACTATGTTATGTACATATTGTACATCATTTTTTTACTCACTTTTCTCACTTGAGTTCCTTGGATGCGGGGTCATAGGTTATTTGAAATCCGAAATTTCTCCCAAGATTTGAATTTTTCATTGCTTGCTTCGAATTTGATTTGAATTGTTTTGTCAGCGGTGTTAGTCTTAATTTTTTTAAGACCTACAAGTTTGTAGTTTATTTTTACCACCGGGATTAAGTGAGTATCCCTTTTTTACAATTTTATGAACTGTTGTTGGAGTTGGACATTTGTCCTGAATTCATAAAGCTCTTTATGTTCTTTTGGGATTAATAGACTATTGTAATATAAGTTAGGTACCGTACGGTATAACGTTGGACTAAATCCTATCCTTCTTTCTTGGGGCTACTGGTACCGGTAGCCTACTGCACTTCAGCATATTGTCAGTAAGTGATTTTAATTCGATTTTTTGTTACAATAAAATAAAGATACAATACAGGGTTAAACAAACAAATATACGGAAAATTAGTACGGTACCTGTACCCGGTACTGGGACAGTCCAACAGTGCTGCAATGGGCAAAATTTTATTAAAGTATTACCTTACCCCAGTACCCTACCGGTATAGATTTTCTGATACACATGCTCACTTACAGACTTATCCCTTTGTCTCCCAAACAGCAACAACATATCTATTTTAAAAAAACTTTACAAAATACGGTACTCCAGTACTCGAAGGCTAATTCGGGCGAAAATACTTGGGTGCTGAGTTTGAACACATACAGACATATGTCAGTATGTACATGAAAATTTGATTCTTTTTCATCTGTGCATCTTAGTCATTTTTCCAATTCCAACTTGCATATTTAGATATCAGGATATTGCTGTTTGTGAAAACATTCTTTTTGTCAATCAACAACGTCATCTTTGCAAATGAATATGAATCAACAAATGTCACCTTCGACTTTTAATAAGTCAAAAGAATCATCTTCTGCAACGAAAAAGGACTCCCTTTCTGTGAAAAAAAGATTACAACAAGAACTCATGTCATTAATGATGTCCAATGATAAAGGAGTATCAGCATTTCCAGATGGAGATAACCTTTTCAAATGGGTCGGTACTATTGAAGGCCCAAAAGAATCCGTATATGAAAACCTAAAATATCGATTAAGTTTAGAATTTTCAAGCACCTATCCCTATGAACCACCAACTGTTAAGTTTACAACACCCTGTTTTCATCCTAATGTCGATGAAAATGGAAACATTTGTCTCGATATCTTGAAAGAAAAATGGTCCGCATTATATGAAGTACGAACTATTTTACTTTCAATTCAAATGTTGCTCGGAGAACCAAACAATGAAAGTCCACTCAATGCACACGCAGCGGAATTGTGGAGAAACTGTGCAGAATATAAAACTCAACTTCTGGATCACTATAAAAAACATGCAAAACAAAATGCATAAGAAATTCACTGTATTTAACTTATCTGACAATTTCTTATAAATGTTAATGAACTCTATTTAGTAACAATGAATTTGGTCATCTTCACATTTTTGAGTGTGTTTATTTTTGTTGCACTTTGAGAAAAATGTCTGCCCTTTTTATGGGAATTTATTGCAGTTTGGCAACCAATGGTGCCGTTTGTACACATTGCATATTTAAATTTGTCCTGTGTGTTTCTATGAAAGACTGTGTCTCCTACTCTGTGAAACTTGTTGAAATATTTTATATGTAACTTTATAACATCAGTTATAATTAACATAAACAACAGTTACTATTTAAATTCTTTGGATAGTAGTAATATACTAAGTTGTAAAAAATAGACTAAAGTTTTAACTTAATTCAACGTAGCTTTTGTGAAATACTCTTGTGAGATTGTATACAATAAAAAAAATTGTGCAGTTTTGTTATGCTGCATATCATATAACGATTTTAATCCAACAAATGTGCCAAAACTGATATAGGATTCAAAATTTGACAGTGATGTATTAATTGGATTTTATTCACGGCAAGTATGAAGATGCCAACCCATTTGAAATATGACAATTCATAAATATTGTATACTGATTTTGGACTTAACTGAAATCCTATTACTATTGGAGACCACCAGATATATTTCTATTATTTACACCTACTCAAATAGTCTCTAAAACGATATTTTTTGTTTTGGAACTATTTTCTAATCTATACATTCCTGTGCTCTATGATTACCAGAATGTACATAATATATTTGTTTCCGAAAGTCAATCAGTTGAGAGATATTTCTCCAATATACTTTTTGAATTGTCCATATGTTTTCATTTAAATGTTCATGCAAAATTTTTGAAAAACAACCTGTTTCCATAGAAATTTTGTTCTGTATCATTGTTTTGTGTTTGATGTTTTCTCAACATTTTCTACATCAAATCTTGTTTTGTATATGTATATAGATTCATATTTGTAAACAAATAGTAGAAGGCAATGCCTTTGCCTGATGCTTTATCAACACTTGGTGATAATCCTTATTTTGGAGCAGGGTTTGGTCTATTTGCCTTGGGTGCTGCAGCAGGAGCCTTGAGGAAAGGTGCAACTTATGCCTCACAAATTATGAGAAGGTTAGACAATAATAATATAAAAGTCAAATGAAAACAGATTTAAAAATACGTTTCTGGGTAATGTGTTGAAATGTTTATTCTTTTTCCCTCATCTTGCTAGTCGAAATTGGATCGTGGTGGTTTGTCAAGTATGCATGAATAAGATAGAAAGTAAATAAGTTATTAGTTGACAGCACAAAGCTAGACTATGCTCTCGCAAAAACCTATATTTTATGGAGTAAGGTTCTGTTTCTTTGTTTGTAAAATAGTTATGTTGCCCAGATCTATATGAAGGAGTTATTTATCCAGGAGTAAGGGGAAAAAAATACAATAGGTTGTACCATGATCTCTCGTCTGGTTCCCAGTACTTGCTGGGTAAGGGATTGGTTATTTGTTTCAGATGCACAGACTTGATGATGGAAGAAGCTGTAATCGAACAGCAGTTACGTGAACCACCCTACAACAGCGAGGAGTCTAGCAATCCTCCCATAATTGTCCCCACAGGATTCGAACCCACTCAGGTTTGATCAGAGGTGCGACGGCGGGCATGTTCCTAATGCTTAGCATGATGTGCCAACCCAGAGTCTGTCAGTCAGCTATTTTCTTAGTGTTGGAATTTATGTATTAGAGACAGCACGAAGGCTTATTTTTCATTAGTCTTAAATATCAGGTACATCGTCTTATTAGTGATAAAATTACTCATCCTTTCAGATATCTGATCACAACCATGGAGATACCAGTTTCTGATCACAGTTACAACTGGGTTTTACAATGGATTGCAAAGCGTCCAGATATGTCTTGTCATTTGAGTGTCAACACAGCTTTTCAACAACTTCACAGCGGAAAGATTTCAACTTCATTCAATTTTACACCCAGTCCTGGTGCTCATTATATTTGGTATTTTGCAAGATTGTCCTCAAATTTCTTAACTATAACATGTGAAATTACTTTTTATTTTGCATTGGTATTGCAATATATAGTCAGCTGCATACTGATTTGTATTCTTCATCTTTCAGGTATAAAAAATTTCCAATTAAAATTGAACGTAATCGTGAAAAACAAATGATAGATCGTAACCAGCACATCCCATATGAAACAGTAACTCTAACAACATTAGGAAGAAATATTGCATTATTTGAAGATATTTTAAGCCAAGGTTTGTACTTGAACAATTAGTTTTGGTCAGATTGATAATGTGCTCCACCATTACATTTGGACATTCTATCTGAATTTTCAGTGATTCAGAAGTGTCGCGACAGAATGATCACAGGACAGGCACAGCATACTTTTACTATTTGCAAAAGCATAGAAAAAAGTCTTACTTGACTTTTTATTTATTTATTCTCGTGAATAACAACATCTATAATTTGTTTGTCCCCCCTCCCCCCCATTTGTTTTTGATGTTAAGTATAAATGGCATCATTATCAGGATCTCGCCCTTGGTAGCAGAAAAGTTTGGCGCTCCCTTGCCTGTAATAGCAATTTGTTTACACTCTCATCTCCATTGAGCTACTGTGTTGGATTAAAATAATTTTGTTGAAAATTTTCATTCTCACCCAAGTCTATTTTGATTTGATCAATTCTGTATAAAATCTTCATGTCTTTCCTCATTTTTACATTATTCTTTGGTTTGTTACAGCTAGAGGAGATGCATTAAAAGAACACCATGGTATGACATTGATATTCAAACCAATGGGCCATGAATGGAGGCAGTTTGGAAATCCACAACGCAGGAGACCTTTGCATTCAGTCATACTCGACGAGGGGCAAGGGGAAAGAATACTTGGTGATGTCAAACATTTTATATCTTCACAAGAATGGTATACAGATCGTGGTATTCCATACAGAAGAGGTTATCTTCTTCATGGCCCCCCTGGTTGCGGAAAAACTAGTTTCATGTGAGTTTTTCAATTGATTCAACTAATCAACTTGGATTTTCTTCATTCTGAAGAAAAGTTAGGTAATCTGTGAATTATTAGGCTACACTGCTTTGAAAACTGCATCAGCAGTTGCATGGTTTGGTACATATTCTGTAGGTTGAGCTTTGTACTGTCCATTGCACTCAGTCTCATTTACTGTAATTTTATCGCATGATAGCGCGGCGGTGTGGCTCATCGTTAAGAATTCGCTTGCCACCGCACCTTTGATTACTCGTGGGTTCGAATCCTATGCGGAAATGGTTATGTGCGAGAGGATTGCTGGACTTCTCGCCGCTGTAGGGTGGTTCACGTAACCGCTGTTCGGTTCTCTTGTAGATTATGTTTAATTGGTTAGGTTCTGGTTCTTAGAAATACTCCATGGCTCCCTAACTTCCTAGAGATTTATTTGAGACAATTGTGAAATTCCTTCAATAGTTAGGGACTATTAGGAGCTCGTTTTCTATTGCTCCACTGATGAAACCTGCTGTCAAAGACCTGAGTGAAAATCTGTTTAGAGGATTGCCACTTCTTCTTATAGCAGAGTGGTTCATGTGAGCCTAGTATCCAAATGAAAGGCTGTGATCCACCATATTGTTAAGCTGTTTTATGAGCTTTCCTTCCAGGAGACATTTGAAAGTCCTATTCCATTTAATATAAAGTATCAATCAGTGAGGGATATGGTTCTTCCCTAGCACTGAGGATTCCTAATCCTGAAATATATATTTCTGTAGAACAGCTTTAGCTGGTGAGTTGGAATACAGTATATGTATACTGAATGTTGGAGATTGGTCACTCTCTGATGACAGACTTCTCAACTTTATGGTCACAGTGCCACCACAAAGCATCATATTATTAGAAGACATAGATGCTGCTTTTGTTGACCGCTCAGCAATGCAAAATGGTTTGTTATCATATCAAGTTTTTGTCTTTCAATCTTAGGAGTCTGTGAAGAATTTCTTAAAATTTATTGAAAACAGCTTTATATACTATTTGCAGGATTGCTGGACTCCTCACCGCCGCAGGGTGGTTCACATAACTAGAACCTTTTCCACTATCAGGTTCACACAGCTGAAAAAATAGCTGGCTAACTGATCCCATACCTGACATGCACGGTTAACTGGACGAGAGATAGTGGTACGGCATATGAATAAACGGCTTTTCTTAACGTTTTTCCTCTCCCCTGGAATAAATATGTTAATCCTATAATTTATCTTCGATGATTGAGTTATCAGATGCTTGAACATTTCACAGCCACATGTCAGAATTTGTTTGACAAGGTATTATCTCTTATTACAGATCCAAGAATGCAAGGAATGAGTAGCATCACATTTAGTGGACTATTAAATGCCCTGGATGGTGTTGTATCTTCAGAAGCTAGAATTGTATTCATGACGACAAATCATATAGAAAGGTATAATTCTTTGTTAATATGTTAGGAATTTTAATTTTTTTTGAATAGTTCTATCATCCTATTGTTGATCATCTAATTTACAGGTTGGATTCTGCGTTATTGCGACCAGGTCGAATAGATTCGAAGGAATGTGTTGGACATGCATCTCAATATCAGCTTGGTTGTATGTTCTTGAGATTTTTTCCTGAATCAAGTGATGCAGAAGCATTAAACTTTGCCACTGAATGTATCAAACATTCAGACAAAATAAGCATGGCACAGCTACAAGGACACTTCATGCTTCATAAATATGATAAAAATGCGGTTTTAGAAAATGCTGATAAAATTTCTTTATTATGATACAATATTACAAGTGAAATTTGTTACTGTTGTGTGTTTAGACTTCACATAGTAGTCATCGTTCCAGTTTAGTGGTCAGAGGATGGGTTGAAGAAAACTTTGACCGAGACACCTTCGCCAAGATAATCCCAGTTTTGATACCGAATTTTTTGCATGCAAGCCTTCTTAGTAAAATCAGTTTAAAGAGTCTAAGTTACTGGCTCCCGACTAACCTAGTTAAGATCGGATTTATCAAGATGCAACTTAATTATATGGCGAATCACGGCCTCTTTTCTGGTTATCGGTCCATTTCAAATATGGGATTAGTCGGTTATTTTGTTTTTGAATGCATGGCAGTTAGTGGTCGGGCAATCCTTTCTCATATAATTATTCCCCACAGGATGCGAACCCATGCAAGGTAATCAGAAGTGACGCAATCAGCATGTTTCTAATGATTTGCCACACCGCAGAAGTGAGTTGGCTTTCAAATTGAGTTATTCTGTGACGCTTTAAACCTGGGGGAACTATTCCAAATTTCATAATTAGGTCGTAAGTGTACGGTTCTTACAGAGTAATCTCATGTTGTAATATGGCTACACGGCTTCTTAAATTTGACTTCCGAGGCACTTTAACGGACCATGGATCCTTTGAGTGGAAAGATAGGTCTGTAAATAGTCCCAGCGAATCACACCAGCTTGGTGAAGAATGACTCACTTGAACAGAATTCAATGTTACTGGTCGAAGTTCCAGACTACTGGCAAAATGACATTTAGAGTCTCTTCCTTTATGTGAAGCAGCAACAAATTTTATCCATCACAATCACAACCCAGGTAGATATCATTCATGGCGGAACTTGCAATACCATTCTGATAAATGTAGCTGGAAAGTTTGAAGCCACCAATCAACCAATCTTACCCCACGTACTTCTTTGGTATATACTATTTGACAGAATCAACAATACGTTTTTGGAAAATGAAAGTCTGATATTGTAGTATGAACTAAACAAGAAAGGTTTAAAATACAAAGAAACATTTCATTCTATAGGGTATTGCATAATAACTAAATATGGTATGATATATTTCATCTCCGCTTGCTTTCTCTCAGTTCCTTCGGCACAACTACATACTTTTGTGCAACAGGAAGAGCTGGCGAATAGCCATCGGCATAGGAATTATCTTCAAACAGCACCAAATATTCATCTTGAGATGTCTTCGGTTGAACATGAATAACAGATCGATAAAAGCATGTTGTCTGAGGGTATAATGCCATCACAAGCTAAAAATGAAGTTTATTTTGATAAAATTTCTGAAAGCCAGGTAACATGCACCCACTCAAAAGAATCTCAGAATGGAGTGACTACTAAAACTATATAGTATTGCAGTTGGAGGTTTGTTAAGTAATTATCGATCGGTACGAGACTTCAGACATTTCAAAACGAGGCGATCAGGAAAACAACTATAAAGGTAGTAGGTTCCACGAAATCAGAGAAATTTTGGCAATGAGATTTTTTGTCTGTTGGGTACACAAATGCAGGTTCGCAGCACACAAAGTAAGAAGGCTGAAAACTGAGTTTAAAGTGAACGAAGCAGACTTACTGTCCCTTTGCTATATATGGCATCTGGGTCCGTATCAGGATTAGCTCTCCATTGTGGAAGAGGAACAACTCTTCTTTTGCTCAATGTATGTCTTTCTTTCCCCTCTTCATCAATATCATCAACTTCATATTTATTTGATGTAGGATTGAATGAAATGACCTAGGAATTGTAATTTTTAAATACAATGGAACAGTTAAGAACTGCTCCCTAGGGAGGTGGGGGACTCAATTTAAGAAAATCGGCTCATAATATTCACTTGGTATTTGGAATTCACCATTACCTCTGCTAGTATCCATTGTTCTTCGCCTTCTTCAGTTCTCACTCTCGCTGCAACTTTGTCTCCTGGTTTAGCAATGTAATCAACACTAGATGGAATTGCTCCGCATAATGGTGGCGGCCTGTTGTAAAATATTCAAATTATATTGCGATAAAAAGATGGGTTAAGTTCTTTTTTTGGTTTTGGCTTGCTCAATTGGACCAGTTCCAGTTAACATAAATATTACTATGGAGGCCATTATGCTTCGTGGATTTGCCCTCAATCTAGCGTCATCCCAAACAATATTGAGTTGAATTGTTTTAAGTCTAGTGTTCTACATCTAGCTCACAGCGAGTCGGTGGCTGTTTGCAACACTTTAAGTACCCCCCCCCCCCCCCCTCAAGTTGAAGTCAATTTGTATAAAAATGACTGACTTTTCATCTGGTTTCCCAATCCATAGCGGCAATGTTTGTGCTGATTTCTGTAGCATGCTCATCAAAACACCACGACGCATAGTTTTCCTCGGTTGGTCATCATGTGGATGCATGCCTGTTAAAAGGTTTAGAATATAATTTGATTTCTTATTTTATCAAAATTTGTAATAAAATATAAAAAATGTCAGCATGCGGTCCTCTGACAGTAATCATGTCAAGGTACAAAAGCCGAATGGATATTCTTTTCTATATTTATTCCATAGGAGACAAAGTAATATAAGACAGCTGATGATAATGGACAACAATCAAGCCAGTAAAACAAAACTGCAAAAAACTCTACTACATAGCTACAACAACGGCCGAGCCTCATAGATAGTAGTATGATAGTAGTTTTGCACAAAAGGTTTATCAAACTGAAAAGCATGGCAAGTACATATAATTATCCCAAACCTGTCATTTGTCATATAACAAAGTGGGCATTCACATCAAATATGGTTAACTGTTGTATGCATAGCATAGGTATGTTCAAATCAACATATCATATCATGCAAAGTTAATCTATTTGAAAGAGTAATGATGAAGTTTATTAACATAAATTATGATTTCATTGTAAAAATGGTATACATTACGATTATGATAATATTTATAATAATATGAATCCCTAGAATGAAATAGCCGCAAAAACATTTATTCTGGAGTATTAACATTAAACGAGGGGCGCATGTTCACTAAACGCTGTAAGCCTAAGTACTTCTAGTTGACGTGGCACAAAAATTTTCGCATATGTTATTCCAAACCTCCACTTGGCTATGTCATCCAAAGATTATGTCACTACCACCTCAAAATCATGCTTGCTTGATTTTGGGTGATCGTCTGTGCATTTTGGACGACAATCTGTATAATTTGACGGGCTTTATTTCGTCACTGTGACATTGTAGGGATGTAGTCAGGTGGGGTTAGAAATAACATATGCAAAAATGTACTTGACGACGTTCAGTGAACTAGCCCCAAACTGGGTATGTCAAGTGTTGAGTCGAGTTTTGCATGTTCAGATTGATATTTTATAAACAAGGTCAATTCAACATTGTTGAGGTCGAAAACACTAAATTATTCGGGGCTGGAAGTAGGAAGTTTTTCCGACAACATTCCAAAAACACTTATTTGACTACGCATTATCAACAGACAATTAAAAAAAGCCTGCATATGCAAAAGCACTTGAGACCCTAAATTAAAGTTAAAGAGTTCAACGTCCGAAAAAGAGGTAAACTTTTCCAGGAATGGCGTCTGACAATCCAATTGTAATCAAATTTATAAGCTTTATGTAAGCATTTCACATCTATTTTTATGAACAAACCTGATATTCTTGCAGCCATACGTTTTTCTTCTTGCAATGTTTTAATCTGTGTTATTATTGCCAAACCTTTTCTTAAAAGATCACATTCATTTCCTGCGTCAGCAAGAGCTGTGCTGTAGAGATTCCGTAGTTTTTGTCGATAGTATGTTGTGACTGCAAATATATAAATTGTATTTATAATGAATAGTCATGAAATGAGGGTTATTAAAATTATCATTTGCGAATTTCCTTACGTTTTTGTTCTGATTGTATTTTATCGTGTGTTTTTGCAATGTTATCAAGGCTGTGAAATCCATTCTCTCTTTCCTTCTGCGTGTCGAATATTGTTGTATGCAGCTCGCGAAGGAGCTCCTGAATCTTCTCATCATTACCTGCAAACCTGGCTTGGTTAGCATTGATGATTCCCTGTTGAAGAGGCATTGGACCTGCCATCATAGATGAGCTGGATGCACTGCTTGCACTCATACTTCTGCAGTTGAATTATACAGTTATAGTGTCCAGCTATCAGGTTATTGTCATTCAATACCGGTAGTTACACAATAACTTAACCACAGAACTGAATGTCGAATTGCTAATATTAGAATATGTAGTCTAGACTAGATGAATGTAAATTCCATTATAATAAGGATGACCGACATTACCGGTACCGGTAAGTTAGCCTTGCAGCATTGGAACAATGATGGCATTAGACGTGTACATGGTGTAGGCCTAGTGCACTCAGAGCTTCCCGTTTTTTTTTAAAAACGAATCTGCTTATGTACCGTAGCGCGTAGCCTACTTACATGACTTGCTATTACTCGTTGGATAGGATAGGATTTACATATTTATCCCGGGGGAGAGGAAAGCCGATAAGACGGCTTATCCATATGGCGAACCACGGCCTCTCGTCCGGTTACCATTCCAAGTCGGGTATGGGATTAGTTTTTTACTGTATTTTTTTTTTTCGGAAGCATGGACTTGGTGGTGGGTGAAGCCGTATGCGGCACCCCTTTGTTTTATTGGGTCTTACCGTAGTACAGTAGTAGTATATATTTACGGTCCTACTACTTACTGAATCAAAGTGACTATAAACCACTTTGTTACTGAATATAGCGCGAAACAGCGCAGAACAGAGGGAAAGAGCGCGAAACAGCGCAGAAGAGATGGAAACATTTTTCTTTCATTATTTATTAGCGTCCGTGACATTTTAAACAATTTGATGGGAAACAGTATACAATGGTAGGGATTGATCACGAGTTTATATCAGTGATCTTTAACATCTTTAAATAACCAAACATGACACACCCTAACCTGGTACACATACTGTGTTCAGGTTGTGCGACATTTTGGTGCACATACTTCATGACGCACCCTAATCTGGTACACATACTGTGTTCAGGCTATGCGCCATCTTGGTGCACGTACTTCTGGAGTTCCAAAATTTCTTTGATTGGTGTATAGTCACTTTGGGTGTGCTCATACGTCATGTTGGGTTATTCAAAGATGTTGAAGATTACTGATATAAACTCGTGTTCATTCCCTACTACTGTATGCTGTTTCCCAACAAATTGTTTAAAATTTCATGAACGCTAATAAATAATGAAAGAAAAATGTTTCCATCTCTTCTGCGCTGTATGGCGCTCTTCTGCGCTCCTTGCGCTCTATTCAGTAAGTAATAAGACCGGGTTTATCTTTTTTTTGGTTCAATTGAAAGGGAATACGCGGTACAGGTCGTATGGTGCTCCCGCACAACATAATTGTTAAAAAGTTGAACGTTCAAAAATTCCAATATTTCGAATTATTTTATTGCCCTGCCGATACGACGCCGCGAACCTTCCGGGTGAGAGAGCAACTTCGCTCAGAGACGTCAGGGTTCAAAGAGTTAAGGCTCGGAGCAATTTTATCCCGTGGATAAAGCAGGAGTTCGCAAATAGATATCATTTTATGCTCGATTTTTTAACACTCATTCACGGCGAAACTTGGTATGTCACGAGTTTATTGCAACTATTCTTCGTCCATGACCCCAAATATCGGTTAGAACAGGGGTGGACATGATTTTTGAACCAGGGGTCAAAAATTGGTGCTCCCGCACAACCTGAAAATAGTATGTGTAGCAGGTTAGGGTTATCAGGCTGTACGCCATCTTGGCTCACTAACTTCTGGAGCGCCCAAAAATTCTCCCCACCTAGACTGGCGGGCCATGCATGTGACGTAAAAATTTACGGTTTATGAAGAACGGTGTTACAAAAGAAAAAGGAGAATACAAAAAAATCTCGTGCCAAAACTCAATTTAATCGTAATCTCAACAAATTCCTTGAGCTGTTTTTTAGCTGAACATAAAAATTAGGTTCTGGTTTGGTTGTGGCATTATCAGGCGGGCCAGCTTGAAGTACCCAATGGCCCACAGGTCGTAGTTTGCCCATGCCAGTGTTAAAAGGTGAGTAATCACACAGATATCTTATTAATATTACGTCGCTTTTTCATTACTTCCGTTCATTTTGATATTTTTTGAGGCCGATAAAAATGGACTTATTGTTGGAAATATTTGTTGGTGTAAGTGTATAGCTTACGCAACACGGTTTTGATCAATATTTTACGATAAACTTCATCTACTTATTTTACTCAAAAACAAATTTTATTAAATTCTTAAATTTGCAACCAAAATTCCACAAGGCAATGCATAAATAAAAAAAAGTTTTAAATTTAGGTGCATTTTGCATGCATATAACTGAATTTATAGTTTATCTCATATTGGCACTCGGAGTAACATAAAAGACTAACCACAACTCACCATATCATTTTAAAATGTATTTAACTTTCAATTTTGTGTTTATCAAAGATAAACAGACAATTACAATGCCACGGCAACTATTTTTGTACAGATTCCTATACTGGGTGAAATTTATATTTTGAATTTTAGTAATCATTACTTCTATAATTCATTTTGGATAGAGTAACATTTAAAAAAAAGAATCAATGGTGGTTACAAAACTTTCCTCACCGTAAAAAAGCATACATTTTCATCACCAACTAGGTATAATTACGAGAATGCAATCTTTAATAAACTTGAAATATATATTATTTCCGGACTGCATGTCCTACATTTTGATTCTGATCAAAGGTTGTGGACTTCCTGAAGTGTACATAGTTCTAAATCAGGCGAAAAATGTATCAGTTGCAACGACGATTATCTGTTTTGTTAAACGTTGTAGTAGATGTTTCTTAAGCAGTGGCGACAGTCGTAGGACATAGCAATACGCAGATTACTTTTCAAGGTATTCAAGGTATTGTAATCAAAGGTATATACAACAGTCTTCGGAACTGTTAAATACCTGTGCCCAACAGCGTATCAACGACCCATGACATTCAATAGTTCAAAAATTGTAATGGATTTATTTTCAAATTCGTATAACAGAGAAAATTGAGTTTAATTTGAACGCAAGGCACTAATGCAAATCAACCAAAGTATATTTCAAACGATTTGCGTGGTTGGTTTTCCCAAGTGTCGCATTCGGAATTTCTTTAGTAAAATTGGCATATGAGTTGGGTCTCTCTTTAGTCGTCCGTACTGTCAGTTTGTCTGCTACACTCCATAAGCCAAAATATTATGCATTTCTATTGGTAGATGCAGCAATAGCGCGATAGTGGACCGCTGACACACTGCCTTGCTCTGAAGTTGTCGACGAGGGCGCAAAATTCCTAGATGCCAAATATCTGTTTCAAGTTGTGGTCTAATGTCCAGTTCTTCTCTTCATCCGATTTTTACATTTTTTGCTCAATATCAAATATATTTTGATGCTTGCTAAATAGAATATTCGTAAACGTTTTCCACTGAAGTTTGCTGAATAGCAAAGCTTTATCATATTTATACGTTCTGATGATTGACCGCCGAAGAATGGGAAGATCTCGCTCTCGTTCTCCAGACCAAGCTGCGGAAAATTACGCCGCTGTCGCGACATCAATTACGTATGCAGGTAAGTATTGTGCAACCAGAATGAGAAAGCCCCACTTATAAAAAGCATAGAAAATAAATAATGATACCACGCCATCAGCATGTAGTTAAGTTATCATCGATAGACGATTGGGTTAACCTCATCTTGAATCTAAAATAATTGTGTGAGTGATGCACAATCGCAAAAGTAGGTCGAAATGAATTAGTTTTGAAAGATCTATGACCAAATTATATATTCAAGAATAGTTTTACAAGTAAAATTGACCAAAACAAAGTCACGATCAATCAATTATTGAAAAAGTACTGGTGGAACAGTACGTACTTTCGTGATGGGCACATATAAATTTTTTGTGTTCGAAATTGTGTTTTTCCACGTATGATAATTGTTGCAGAAGTAAATTGACATTACGAAAAAAGTAATCATACGTTTATTAATAATATATGCGTTGAAAACCTAGTCTGCTATTTCCATAGACAAGTCATGTTATCAACTCACAAATAGAACATGTACTACAACAATTTAAACGTAATTATTACCCAGTAGTATCTTCGTTTACCAGCTTTCGTCTTGAGAATTATTACTGGGCTGGTTGTATGTGCTGTCATGCTGTCCACTGCTTCGTTCGTGATGAATGGATTGAACTTAAGAGAGGTTGGTGCAAATCTACTGATACATTGAAGTCAAATGTAGGTCAGAGAAAGCCATTCGATCGAAAATGCGGATATATATATATTTTTTTATATGTTGTATAAGCGAAATGTAGATAAAATATCAAATTTGGTGACACTTGATATGCTTGGCTTAAGGTTTTATTGTAGTTACATATACACAAAATGATTGAAAATTAACAGCTGCTGATAATCATAGGAATATTATTTGTGAGCAAATCTCGTATTTTAAATTGTTGAAATCAGTATTGATGTGGAACGTTTCATGTCCAGAAATCAGTAAAATTTGGCACGGCAATGGTAATTCAAATAATTTATTTCATATTATAGATTTGTGGTTATTGAATATTTGCAAATTTCTGCTTGAGTCACGAACTAATAAATATGGACATTTATTGATCACGACTAACCATTGTTTTATTTTGTCGATTGAATTGTTTTCAGAAAAAAGAGACAAGACAACAGTTGATGCAAGGTATACTACCCATATTTTATCTATGGGAAACAGACATAAAGTTATCGACGACCAAGAGATAAATAGATGAAAAACATACTTTTATAATTAAACCACATTTAAATTGAAATTTAGCCTGTGGTATATTAGTTGAATAATTGTGTAATTCGTCATTTACTTCGACATCAAAGTTCTCCTTATAAATTCAGTACAACTTTTTTATCAATTAGTTGTGCCAATAATAATATTGTGGTATGAAAATTCATGAGTTGTACTGAATTAACATTTTATTTATAGAAGTACTTGAGACTCGTTTGTTGATTTATGGTAAGAAAACTTTTGTATAATAGTGAGGTATTTCAAAGTTCTCGATATCTTGATGTAAATTAAAGTTAAATATAAGATTGGGTATAGCAACTGTTTCCCGAATTAAATTGGCTGTTTTGATTAAATATTCGATTAAATATTGTGACATTTCCGATCAGTTGAACACCAATTCCCAACATAATTTTATCTCAATAATACAGATCTCAAAAGAATCGCTGATCAACAGAAGAGAAAATGTAAGTTTTGTTTAAAATAATTGTTGTTAAATTTATAAAAAAAAATATATGATTGTACAGAGATCAATCGATTAAACATTTGGGTTTGTAACATTTCACACCTAATTTTCAGTAATAGTAAAACGATATAGCGATCGGAGACCGCCGACTTACGATCTTCAGCATGTTCAATATTTTACTCGACCAGCCCAACAAAGTCGAAAAAAAGCGACGAAAGTTAGGGAATCCCCCAAAACAGAAACTGTGGTTTCGATTCCTTCATTGTGACTCAATAGCGACACCACGTGTCCCATCACTAACTACCTACTAACTCGCTAATAATACGACATAATTCATCCAATTTATCAATAGGCTTTTGGACCGAGATATGATTTATGTACATGCAAAATTTGGAGCAGATTCAACCTCGCTTTTGTGAGATATCGCGTAACATACGAAAGTGTCTAACAGACAAATACCTATCAACATACTTACCGATCGAGATCTATAAGTAACAAAGTAAACCACTGCCAGTGCTCCGAAAGTTATGGGCCTAACACAGAAGTTTTAAAATTAGTTTTTATATTCTCTTTTTAACGTTTTGCAGCTGAAGAAATATTTGACGGTAAGTTACGTTTACAAATTAGTTGCAATTGTGTTTTAAATTGTGAAAAAGGTATCATCTACTCTAAATTACTACTAAAAAGCAGTTAAATTATGGCAAACATTTCTGTGTTTGAAACAAATAAGACGATGTCGGGCTTAGGCAATTAGCGTATGTTTTTAATCAAAATTGTTTTTAAAGAAATAAAATACCACAAGACTTTGCGTGCAATATTACACCTTCAATATATATATATATCTATTATATCATCATATATATATCGCTTAGTTTAAATATGAGCCCAAATATGAAGTAGAATTATCATATGAAGTATACCATAGGAGGGGCAATTAAAAATTTTACCGCAATGGTGACAACAAGGTCTATATTATCACTGATCTTTAAAATCATTATATTATATAAATATTTATTATATTACAGAGGTTTTGCGCGTAAAAGATGGAATCAAAGGTATAAATGGCCAAACTACATGTTGAATTCTTCAGTTATTACATGCATTCATCGATTTCTATATGCATTGTATATATTTGGAAATCAGTATTCGTCTATTTGAACAAATTTTTGAATGCGTGAAATCAATCTCCTTCATCAAAATTTCTTTGGCTTAAAAGTTTCACAGGTTGAAAATCATTAACAATAACTGTAATAAATTAGATAAATTCAAGATTTATTATTTTATTTATTTTTCAGTCCAATGTTTTTGTCAGCAAAATAAATAAACGGTATTTTGATAACAGATGTAAAAGAAGAAGCCGATATACACCAGACACAAGATGAAGAATCACGAAAGAAAATATCTAACAACATCAAGGGTACGGAATGTAATTTTGCATTGAATATACTACTACCACCCTACACCATCTAACGTTTATTTTTTTGAACACTTGATATAGAATTCAAAGATGAAATACATGAAAAGTTGAAAGGTAAGGTGAACAAGAAATAAAATATTGAGAGAAGTACTTTATTTTTAAATTTCGAGTGGTCATTGAAGACGTTGTTATAATAACGCCGGGAGAATGCATTATGAAATTTTGTACAACTAATCGCGTTAAAATATTTGCGGCTTTGTTGTTTGCCGGGTGTTGTAGGAGTGTAGTTGAGTTTTATTTGTGTTTTGCAGTTATTTTAAATTTTAAAATGTTTATTCAACTTTGTTTTGAGATACGTTTTTCATGATTAATATACATAGAATTTGTTGGACATAGTTTTTATGTTAACCGTGAAAATTACCTTTTCGAAGCCGTGGAAAAAGATCGAGAAGACAAGCATATTTCAATACAGGAGATGCTAGCAGGTTATTATACATACTACATATGGTTCTAAAGTTTGGCAAGTTTTGCATACAGTACCATGTTACGATAATGTCTTTAATTACTTTTATTTCATATATTCATCTAGATTCATTTATCAAAAATAACGTTGAGAGATCATAGAATATTTTATATTATTAAACTGAGTATATCTCACAAAATATTATGGTAATTTGATAGCAATGTTTTTTTTATTTTTTCAATTTAGTGATAAAACTTCTACTAACATTTTTTGTTTTTCTCAAGATGAAAGAAAGGAACTGGAAGAAATTCTAGAAAGTGAGATCTGCATATAATACTAGATTAGGACTTTATTTGTTGATATTTGTTGTTTGAAAAAGACTTGTAGTTATAGTTCATTGGCCTCATTTCACAACTAACCAAATCATCGCTGCATAAGTTGTTTATTTTAAAATGTTTTTTAGTGACCAACATTTTCCATTTGCAGGACAAGAACGTCGAAGTAGTTCGAGCATGGAAGGTAAATTATAGAACAAATTTAAATTATTAGAGTATATAATTGTTACCGGTCGTCATCAAAACTATAGTAGCTAGCTCGGGAGTAAAATATGGGCTAATGCAAAGAAATGACTTAATCCAGGGGTGTGCAACCTTTAATACAGGCGGGCCAAATACAAATAACTGGGTGAAACCGCGGTACACACCTTTATTTACCATAGGCGTTCTAGTAGTTGCAGGCACATGACATGCGCACAATCTTTTCTTGTGGGCGCATTGCATACCCCTGATTTAATCGGTTAATATTTAAACCTGTGTTTCGATCTTGTGATCAATATGCAAGCTGTCGTACTTACTATGATAATTAGATATAGGAGTATATATATATATATATATATATATAATATATTTTTAAAGCTCACTTCCTTATTTTTCAATTATCTTTTTGATTTCAGTCCTGACAAAACGGATGTTCTTCCAGTTTGATGGTGCGTTTTTATTCAGTTTTATCTCATAAAGTTTTTGTCTCAGCTGATATTTATTACTTTATTAATCAAGAACCAAGTATGGCAATCAGAAATAAACTTATTTCAGTACTTCAAAGTTATTTCAGATACCATTTTCAATGATAAATGTAATAATATTTTCTACACTGCACTAAAGAATTTCCTAATTTTGTACTGATAAATATTTCGAAATAATCCTTATGGCCCGACGTCTCTTAGATTAATATTATATACTTCATCATCAAAACAACAACTCATAAACTCAACAAGTATAAAAAATGCAGCTTTCAATCGTCACTAGAAAAACATGTTGTGTACTGATAATTAAAAAAATTTAAGTTTAAAATACCCCGATTTATTCGTGTTTAACGTATAGATTTAGTTTACCAGAATACATCAGGAACAACTGAAAAAGTCCGTTAGTCAAAGACTATATTTTGTTAACACAAATTGGTAAAAACTTTCTCACAAAAATGAAGATATACTGTTAAATGTTTTTACATTTATATTACTTTTTTTTGCATATTTCTAGCAACACATCGATATATTGTTCAAAGAGCAAATGGTGAGTTTGGAAAGTGTTTTGTATTATGAGTTGTTCATCACGAATTTTCATTTTCGCCATTACAAATTATAAGATATAAAAATATCACATCTATAATTCAAGTGTTGAATACTATACACAATGTTTTCCATGGGACATATATAGCCCTGCTGTGTTAAGGTTACACACTTTTTCTGTACAGAATTGAGACATCATAAAGTGTTTATGCGTAAAATAATTATCGATTTTGTTGATATATTCAGGTATTACAAGCTATCTGTCAATTGTTTCTCAAGGTATGATCATGCATCTCTTGATCTTCATAAGCACAGTTATTATTGAAATAAACTTTATTTTTATTATCCACTTAGTTGTACGACGGTGTATACAGACAGTCACAGTTGCGTTTATAATGTGATTTGCTCAAATTTTTAAACGCGGGGCGTGGCAAAGCAAAGCGATTTTATTTACACGGTCAACAAATTGTTTGTTGTTTGGAAATGATACCGTTGTTTAGTCGTAAATGAAGTGGAATCATAATTGTCAAACTATTTATTTTAATAATGAATTAGATGGTTTATCTTTTACTATTATTCAGCATGTCCGTAACATTAAAAACTTTCATATTGTAACTTTATGTTTACAGGACAGAACAAATTGATGATGTCTAATTTTAAAGGTAAAAGGGCTGAATTCGAGTATAATTCAATCAATAAATTGCGTCTAACTTGTATAAACATATGCATAAAACTATTATACGATTATTTTTTATTGAATAGTTTGTTTTATCGATTACATTAGGCAACATATTTAAACTGAAAATTCCAATACCAACACAGATACAGATTAAATGATCCAAACAACTTCCAATGATTTTTGTTGTTGCTTGATTCTGCTAATTCATTTATTTTTTTTTCTAGATGTTCTATCCAAAGTATTCGTGACTTATGAAAGTAAGACAATATTAATCAGAAAAACGCAGAAATAAAAGAAAAAAAAGTAACCTATTTTTTATTTGTTTCTCCTAGGAATGAAAAGCACATATTTGGAAAAGTCAAAAGGTATGAAAATTGTATTAACGATTAGAAAGTGAGTCAGATGGTGTAACCATTCACAAAATTCAAGCATATATTGGGTTATTTATGCAACTCCATATCAATTTTAGAACAAACAACAACTTTATCATACAGGATAAAAGGTAAATGGCACTTAACGGTAATAATCCATTGTTATTTTCATGTTGTTTTGGGTTTGAAACTGAAAATAATTAACTAACTTAGTGATTTCAAAAACAGGGTTGCTTGTCTGCAACATTTATGACGATAGTTTTAATAGCAAAGTTTTATTAATGATAGATTTTTGTCTCTACCTGAAAAATGAAAAATAGTGTACTTGTATGGTCAAAATATCAATATTTTAAATCATGCTTCCTTTAGATAATCTTATACTCATGCGCTCGGAAATGAACTGTGAGTAGCCTATATTTCCTTCCTTTTGTACTTTGCTCGTTCGGTATAGCTCCAAAAAATATTAACTTCCTAGTAGCGTACTACATATAGAATGCTATACATATAATAATTTGTTGCATTGTTATAAAACACGCAAGACGATTTATGATTTATTTAACAGCCATTTTCAATTATATGTCATCAGCGATTGAAGGTAAGATATATGTATAAATTCTTTGTTTTTTTTTAAGAGTCATGAATATCAATAAACCCACATAAAGTTATGTGATTCGTTTTGCCTCCATCATTTGGGGTATTTTCTCGAAAAAATGAAACGTTGCAAACTTGTTCCACATATTGACACATACTGACTTTGGTTTCACATATTTATCCCGGGGGAGGAAAGTCGATAAGACGACTTAATTATATAGCGAACCACGGACTCTCATCCGGTTAACAGGCCGTGTTGAGTATGGGGGATTGTTCGTCCCTATAAGTAGATAGTCGATTCCCGTGTTATTGAACACACGTTATGGAATGTAACCCCCAATCTGGACTCCTTCTAAGGGCAATAAAGCACACAATGTGTTGAATGACAAATATTGTTATATTGAAAGTTCCACAATCCAATACGAATACAGATATATTGAAAATACACCCAACCCCTCAATGCAGTCAAAAACAGAATAATATCACAATATATTTCAGCCTTCTCGGCGTAACCGGAAACATACGTCAGTAAATTGGTCGCTTACAAAGAAGGCTATATAGAACGAAGGCTTTATGGCTGTCGCGAATCATATAGTGACCTATTTCAGAGAATGCAACATACTATTATAATGAAGGAGTTAAATAACATTATAATCCATAGTTACAATTCATATTCGCTACACGAGTATGTGATGATTTATCAAGTCATTTGTTCCCTATTCATGAACTTGATGGTGGCAGAAACTGTAATCGACCAGCGGTTACGCGAACTTCCAAGACCCTATTTCACGATAACTTTTTGGGATAGTATAGAATTTACATATTTATCCAGTGGGAGAGGAAAGTCAATAAGACGGCTTAACCATACGGCGAACTACGGCCTTTCGTCCGGTTACCATTCCGTGTCGGGTATGGGATTAGTTAGTTATTTGTTTACGGAAGCATAGACTTGAGCATTCGGCTGCATTTTGATAACAGGTACACGCCGAAGCCTGAGAACTGAATTAACGAGTAAGTACAATTTTGTGTTTGTAAAATTGTAGTTTTCTTTCCAGCACCCCGGCTATTATTTTATCTTTTAGTCGATATACAATTTTGAGGTTTCACGATTTCCTCGACCTAATATAGGCATCCTCCTAATTTTCTCGTTTCAATAATATTGGACACGTAGTGATCATAACAAACATTTTGTTGTTATGTTGTTCTTGTTGTACTTTGACACGTTTTGAAGTAATCGCTTTTCTCTTTGATTACTGGACCAATTGCTTTGAAATTTTCAGTGGTGAAAGATGGAATTTTCCTCCAGAAAATTATTACTTTTATTTTTTGCTATGACGTCATCAAATTATGTGACGCTCCATGTCCATATATTTGAGCAAAGCTCTCTTGTGTTGTTGTTCTTTGACACTTTTTGGACACCTAGTGAAAAATCTAAAAAGTCGCTTTTTTCTTAAATTACTCGACCAATTTTTAGTGGTTAAAGATGAAATTTTTTTCAGAAGGCTATTACTTTAATTTATTTCAAATATTTCTGTTAGCTCAAGTGAGATTTGTTTTTGTATGATTTGACGTCGCCGAACGTTCTTTGGACGCATGTGCTGGCACTCCTCTTCGTGTTCTTCTGCTCACATGCCATTGAACGTCGGTGGTTCGTAACGAAATCCTTGCTTTGCTAAGATTTGAGGAATGGTGAATGGCGAATAGTGCCGTACTTGGTGTTATGTTACAGTAGTGACTCGGATCGTTGGTGTTACTACAGTCGTGAGTCGGACCATCTTGCAACTTAAATTCACGTTTTCACAAGACAGGAACTTCTAAAGATAGGGCAGTTCCGGTACCGTAACACAGCGCGGTGACACTGAACTAATTCGTAATTGTATCGTAAAAGCGGGGCTTGCAGTCACTGTTATAACTGATGTCTTTAAACGTTGGTGCTTTTCTTGGAATCGGGAAACGTGTCCATATATTTGAGCATAGCTCTCTTGTTCGTCATCATTATCATTGAAAAATCGCTTTTCTCTCCGAATACTGGACCAATTGCTTTAAAATTTTCAGTGGTTAAAGATTGATTTTTTTTGCCAGAAGGCTATTACTTTTATTTATTTCTGAATTTCGTATGAAATCTGATATTTCCTACAAAATTTCGCTTGCTTGTCCGGTTTGATTCTGTAAGTTCTTGCTACGCGAAACTCGGAAATTTTTTGAGGGTACCAGTAGCGTCAAAGGCAAGACCTGCTTCGCTCTAGTTAACGTGTCCATATATTTGAGTATTGCTCTCTTGTTCATAAGTTCAATATTTCATATCGTCAACATTTTCAATTTAGGCGAAATTGTTTCTGGGAACAAAGGAACAGTGGGTAAGTATTATCACAGTTAAGTTTATTTTGGTGAAGAAGTAAAAACTGCGTATACAAAATTGAAAGCGAAGTGTTCACAATGTTATAATTGAAAAAAGCCATGAAAAACCGACGCTCGTTATCAAGGAGCGGCACTCAAAGTTTTATTTGTCTAAGTAAAATTTAAAAAGTTTGAAGGGCCGAGGAATTTAGTTTTAGTAGCATTCTTATTTGCCAACTAACATCGCCCACTAGAGATTATTTTGGAGAGCCAATCTATCCACTAGATGGAAGGGGTATTCACCTTTTCAAGGAGATTGCATCAAGCGCGGCTGCTCCGAGTATCATAGCGGTAATATGCTTTCTTCAGTAATAAGCAATGAATGAAATAGGTCGAGTCGTTGATATTATCATAATATGATTACACACAATTCATATGGCGCCAATACTCTATAAAATCCCATCTAGACAAATATATTGCTAATGGTCAAAATTATAGAAATACTTCACAACTATTACGGATTTTTATCTGATATATTCATTGAATCAAAAGAGTTTTTTTTTCATTCAGCCTACATGAGTACTGCCTGGCATGGTCTCCGCAGTGAGTAACTCAATATTGTGATATAGATATGTTTTGTCAAACTTGTTAATGGCTGTCCAATAAAAATATCCATTACCTCATTTGACTACTATATAATAAATAGATATATATTATAACAACGGCGATCTCATGACTTTCGCCAGCTTTTCGATAATTCGGATAATTTTGATACTGAACCTATTAAATATGTTGATAAAAATTGACACTCCCTAAGTTTTAAGTACTTCGAGTAAACAATCAGGCAATCTGTTGTCAACTATATTTCACTACAGATAAATTAATATATTAAAATCGAATTCAACGAATTCGAATGCAGTTAGAACTTTATCATTTGTTTCAGACAATTTGAATACATTGGGAATTGTTAATAAAAGTAAGTCCATTAAAATAGTGTACTGACATTACTGTGACAGTATTATCATCTGTAATATAACATGTACTGGGATTCCAAATTATTTGTTACCTGAGGTTTAATCTACAATCAGAAGTGTACGTTGTATGTAATTTATGATTTTCAATAATATATGTTGTATATATGTAAATAGGTATAAGTAAAACTGGTAATATCATAAACTTCTGAAACAAAATCTACGGAGATGAAATAGGAAGGTATAATTTTTGCTCAGATTATTGAATTTATTGTGACTAGAATCATTTAAACACGCTCGAAAGTAAAAAAAAACAGATTTTCTTAAATATTATTTATTCAAACCTGAATTTAATATTGTTAAATCTGAGAATATGTACAGCAAATTTTATTAAATAAAGAGTATTTACATATCCCAGAATATCACCAATCTTCAATAGAAAGGATGAAAAGTGAGTGAAATTATTTTATTTGTAATATGATTTTATAACAAGTTGAATGTAATTTACAAATCATAAACCCTATAAGCCATAGTCACTTTTTCCAACGACTTGGTGTAGGCTACTTGAGTCCTGCAAACAAAACTCAAACATACCAAAGAGACAGAAACTTTTGACAAAAAACTCGAACTAAAAACTTGCTTGTGCGTTTTTGAAGAGTCGATCTGTATATCTGAAAATGCATCAAGTCGATTTGGCATCATAGAATTGAAATTAGAAGTTAGACTCGACCAGGGTAATATGTGGCTGCATTTAAATTAAGGTTGAAAGACTTTTTATTGACTCTGTAATGTACAACTCATATAATACTGATAACTTTTTGTTTTCTGTAGTCGACGTTAAAATACTTCAAAGCAAATTGAATGGTATGATTATGTATTTTATATACCGGTATCTATCTTTTTCATAGCAGCTTTACTAATTTAAAATTGATTTATACTTGACATCTGGTTGTTGTTTAGTGGGTGTTATTCCTAATTTATTAGATGTAAATTCAATTCAAATAACTTCTATTGCCCATTAAATATTTAATCCAAAATGTGGAATTTTCAGAATGGTTTATACCAGTGGTGTGCCATCTGCGGCCCGCCAGGAAAAATTGTGCAGCCTGCGGCGAGGTGCCAATTTTGAATGGTGTGCACACTAAACGAGTTTTTACTTTGGGTAATATGGTTTTTGCAAGCAATTCCAATCTCTTTGCGTCGCAAAGCCCTGGTTTAAATCACTGTGGCGGACTTCCTGTCTAGTACTCTTGTATCTACTTAGACACAATACTCGAATTGAAAAAAAAGTATGATAAATATAGATTTATACATTATGAACAGATTCAATAATGTAAATGTAGACCTGGTATATAAAATATGTAAACAAGATTTAATGTTTTAAGCTCAAACTGGTGACGTTGGCGCAATGATCAGAGGTAAGTAGCATTCTGTTTATTAAATAGTTCAAATTCCTCAATGAAACAATAAATAGGCAGGTTGTTGAAAAATATCTATCTATCGGTAGCCGGGTAGACTTTAAAATATCGGACTTGTATAACATTCTTTTGATACATTCAGAACATTTATACATTACAATTATACATTCAGAAAACAGGAGATTGATGGAATATTTGTTCGAGGGTACGTATAATTTTTTTATACAATTGTTTTTTGTATAATATGATTGATTTAGATAAGAGTCAAAACACAAGAGTCTTGATTTTGATGTCGAAGTTATATCCCACTCTGACACAACCCGACAACACATTTATTTTAAAGAGGATTCATCTCATGGTTCATGTCTCGATCTGAATAAAATATATTTATATCTTTTTCTCATCTTTGAAAATGTTCAAAAAATTCACAGATCAATCTCGAGTCAATTATAAACATCACGCAGGTGAGCTACATATATATATGTTTATATATATTCCATAATTCTAGAGCAGCAGGGGGGGAGCAGCCTTTTTCCAAGGTTTTTAGACCAGGGGCTAAAAACCTTGCCCACTTAGACTTGCGGCCATGAATGTGTGACGTTACATTTTATGAACTAAATTTACAGTGTTACAAAACCAAAGTGGAAAATAAGTGGAAAATAAGTCTCGTGCCAATACTAAATTAAATTCCAATTTCATCAAATTCTTTGAGTTATATTTTAGCTAAAACATCAAAATTTGATTGAAGTATGGTTGTGGCAGCATCAGACGGGCCAGATTGAATTACCCATCAGGTCGCATTTGGCCCACGGGCCGTACTTTTCCCATGTCTGTTCTAGAGTCTGGACCTTATTTTGAAGAAAATATTTTGATTACATATTCATAAATGCAAATCAATTTTATATGTTCCTAGATCAGAGTACCTTTATAGATGCAGGGATCCAGAGTACGTGACTCTTTTTATTCACTATTCTTTGAAAGTATATTTTTTAATATTTCAATATAAAGTTATTGTCAGCTTGAAACTGTGTTTTAGATTGATGCAGCAAGCAGCTTTAAAGATGCATATTGTGACAACTATATAAATGAATCTACATTAAATGTTTCATTACATTACTACAAAGTTGTTTGTAAAGTCGAACAAGAAATTAGAACCCTACATTTTAAAAATTGTAATGTTGGATCCTTCAGACTCTTAGATAAAAAAAAATTGAAAACGCTTTCCATTGACCTATTATGATTTGGAATTGAAACCTCGTTTCTGGATGTTTCTTTTTGCTACTCTACGAGTTTTTGTTACACTTTTACTAATCTTAGCATTTATATTTTAAATGATTCATTTCAGCTATATTCAGATCGATTGAAAACTCTGCTGCTGGTAATTTTGTTTTTATATCTAAACTTTTTACGATATAGTAAATATTAGGTAAAGTTTACCAATAATCTTAATGTTACACTGTTTACTTAGAGCGCAACTCTTTCCTTGGCAATAGGATCAATAGTCTACAAGTGTTGAATTACGCACTTTGGACACATTATTTGTTATTTCCAAGAGTGCATAGGCCTATAGAAAACTTCTGCGCATAAAGTATTCCACTGAAGATTTTGATTTCCAAACCTATATAAATAAGTGTAGTGCAATACATAGTCTTTATAATCACGCCAGTTGCCAAACGGTATAATTATACAACTAATTTGTTACTTATAAAAATTATTCTTAAATAATAATTTAAACAACTTTTAGATGTTAAAAGTGAAGCGAAAAAGGATGCCAAAGGTAAACATAACATACCTATCACCTATCAGTTACCATTATATCATTTGCTTTTTATTTATTAATGGTGTGAACTGTATCAAAGGTTTGACCATGGGAATTAACAAATTATAGCTGTTTGTCGATTATATTCTTTACGCAAAAGAATTTATTTGTAGACTAAATTATATTATAACGTAACAAGTATATAATTCCTAATTACTCGTTTAATGAGCCTATAATTCAATTAGAATTGAGACAAATGGCAACAAAACGCAGAAAAGTTGATGCTAAGTGCCAATGGTTTAATGGCGTAAAAAATATTCAAATGGTCAGTCTTCGCGCGCTGCTTAAAATTTAACTTCTGATCTGTGTGATAAAATGTGATTCATTGGTCCTCCATTCGATTTTTTACTTTCTAAAAATATGTGCGGCCCGCCAATGACTTGTAACCTTTAATTTTGGCCCGCGAGCGACAAAAGGTTGCCGACCCCTGACCTACCGTATGCAATTTTGCCTCTTTATATATGAGTGTTCCATAATAGGTTGTTTCATTTGTTCTCATATGCCGTATGATATTTAATCCATTTTCATAAATCAACAAAACACACTAGTCCCAATAAACATTAAGACCAGAACACCTGAAAGTGAGAGAAGTACCATATATGGAATATAACTCAGAACAGTATCTGACTATTTCATTTAAAAGCTTTTTGCTTTTGAGATGCTGCAGACACCGCTTCAAGCAAACGACAGAGCTAGAAAGCTTTTCCTTGTTACAACTATTCAGTACTTTGATCAAGGGTGAAGGCAAATTTTTCTAATGAGCTGAAAGAGCATATCGATTGGATTCTACCAATATTTCAATAATATTATAAAGTTACATGATATCAACATCATACAATTAATGACTTCAGAATGGAAGAAAAATAACTGTATAATATATTTTTACATTCAGAGGCAAAAGATGAAGTTTTAGAAAAAATCGAAGGTTCGTTTGTTTCCAGAAACCACACAAAAAACTATCGACAATCTATGTATAAGTGATAATATTTTTATTGGTATAGTAACTATAGTACAGTAGTATGATCGTTGTTCAATTTAAACTTCAACTTATGTGGCCATAGTACTATGACTTTTTGTTAGCATCAATTACAATATATTTGAAGTGTCGAAGGTTGCAAGACGATTTTCTATTGTACTTACCATAATTCGCTTGTATTCATTTTATGTTCATTATGATATGGCTTAACTCATAATGAATTATCATTGGATTTCGCATTTTAATAGCTGCGTAACTTCAACTATTTAGAGCGAACATACTTTTTAAAAAAGGAACTCATGGGTAAGGAGATACTAGAAAAATATTAATATTTTGTTTCTTATTTACAACCTTAGATGATATACGGTAAATGTACCAGTTACCTGTATTATTGTAAGCAACAAAGGCTCAATGTTCTTGATACCACATGTCATATATAGAATGCTTTTTTTAGAATACGACTATGTTTCCATTCGAATTATTGTTTTGTCAGATATTTTGGGGATTGTGTGTTGACCTATTTTAGGAAAAAATGGTCCTATTGTCTTTGGTATTTGGTCTAGGTGATGAATGAAGATCTTGCAGAACTGTGTATTGGCCGATCAATATTTTACGTTGTTCGCGCTAGGCTTTTGAAACTGAAAATTGCTATGACTAATTGATTCATTTCTTTCGTCTAATCAGCATCAAGAACACAAGTTGGTCAAAAGATTATTGGTAACGTTACTTATGCAAAAAATATTTAAGAACATATTATTATTTTCTTAAGTTGATTATATGTATTTAAAAAAAGTTGCATGAAAAAATTACGCAGCAGATCAAATATTTTTTAGGTTTAAATGAAGACCTCACTAAAGTAATCACTGGTTAGTCATTGAATAATATTGATGAATGAATGCCTTGGACTTTGTCATATATATTTATGTCTGATTATTATGAGCTATCATCAGATTTCAGACATTGAAAATAAACAGACATTAAACTTTATTTCTGTAATATAATAGTGAGTCATAGTTACTGGTAATAGGAAATGAACTATTACTTGATTTCCACGAAGAACAAATTAGTAGAATGCTCATGTGATTTATAATCATAGATCGGTACCGAAATGCCTGTAAATTTGTAAAGATAAAAAAACTTCCAATTTTATGTTCATTTTACATTCTCACAGAGAGGCTTTATTGTATAGTAATATCAGAATATCATGATAAATTACCTAGAATTAACTACATTCTTTGGCTGTGTTGTCATAAATATATTTTTATTAATTTCTGAAAAAAATCAGCGCAATGAACTGATACTGGCAAGAATGCAAAATTATATAGTTAAAAACTCTCAATCATTAACTGAACTGAAATGAAAAAACAGCAGCAAAAGAGTCCCTGAACTTTCTGTTTCAACAGAGATACTGTACATACTTGTGTATCATTGTAAATTACTTAATATTTTCTCATGTTATACTAGTTCGATTCTGAGTATTGCGTTATTTTAGTGTCAGATTTTACAAAACAAAAATAATGCAATGATTTAATTATTTTCACAAGAGAACGATATCGTTTTTCTGTGATTTTAAATAGAGGTAATTTTTTCGAGCTTGTTTTGCATTTTAATCACATTTAAAAATTATGTTTACTTTTCTGATTGACAGATCACAGAACTGCTATTGAACGTAAGTTCTAAATTATACACCAGTTTATAAAATGTTTTGCAAAAGCGTGCAGCTCAGCCTGTGGATTCAGAAAAAGGGCTACCCGACTGTGGACTATTTAATAACTGACTCCGAATGAAAGTTGATTAAAATTTGAATCCTGGACTAAAATACTTGAATACAACTTTTACATAATAATATTATGGCATGCGAAAAGTTGTGTTTTGCGAGTTGTTTTCAGTTTTTCTTGAAAATTTTGACTCTGGAGAATTTAGAAATAATGCTCCACTCATGTGACCAATAGGTAATTACCAAACCACTGCAATATTTCTGCCAAAAACTGCACTGGTCATTTACTATCTACTATTTATGGATAAATATGACGGCCAGAACGAGAAATATATATATATATATGTGTGTGCTTATTAAAACATGGTTGTATAGCATAGTTCTAGCAAATTAAGGCATAAAAATTCTTTCGAACATGAATGTATTTATCGTATTTGGGGAAAACTGTTGGTGATCTATTATGAAAATGTGCATATTATAATGCTGAAAGAGCTTTATCTCTTTAACTGATAATATTTAAAAAAATAAAAATGACATTTATCATTTAGAAAAAGTGACCAGCCTTACTACGTTAGTCACAAGTAAGTTAACATTATAAAAAAACTTATAATATTTCCCTCTCCGAATTTTATATGGAAATTATTTGTATTTTTAGATGAGGTGGCAAACATAAAAACAAAAATTGGAGGTGAGAAAAGAGAAAATTTAAATAACCTTTACCATTGGGGATTTGTTCAAAAAGAATTGTTTTAAAACAATTGTTTTAAATCAAGTTTTTTTTTTGCCTGTTTTGTTCAAAATGGCTGTACTATTTGATTTTTTTGTATTGAATAGGTTAAAGGAAAAGGGATGTAAAACCTTGCCAAGCGCTTCTTATTTGCAATAAATCTTTCAAAACGCTACAAATATCGATAGAGGCTAATACAAACTTTCTCACGCTGTAGTTCAGTAGTTCAGTGGTTGGCGTAGTAAGACGCAACCGGTAAGCCATTACGTGAACGACCCTGCTGCGTTGAAACCACCTTGCGAAAATTGAAATGCGATCGAATAAATGAGTTTGTATAACCTTGAAAAACTCACTTCAACCTTGAAAAACAAAGTATGCTAAGCATAAATTAACCGAACAGTATCAACCGTAACAATGACTTTATTTTATGAGAAAAATATCAATACATGACCTCGAAATCCATATTATGGCGTCATAACAGATTAGTTGTGGCGTCTTTGCATCAGAGAACTCTTACAATTAACATAGGCTAGGTTAGGATGTCTCATCGTTCATATCAGTAGATTACCGCCGATATAAGCATATTCTTCATTATCGCAACCCACTCGTTTTGCCAAAGGGCCTGCACTTGATCGAATTGCTTTTGGAGTACGCTTGTGAGCTAATTTTCATGATTTTTTTTACACAAAACGTCTCTCTGAAATCTCGGCTAAACATTGCGGGTAAAATCTTATGACTTTGGTGGAGATATAAAGTGGCGATAAATGTACGCAATAGTGGTAAAAGTCAAAATAAAAAATTTGACTTACATTTTTGAAATTATAATTCCGGCTGCGTGTGCAGCTGCCAGAATGCTACGTTTTGGCGTAGTTTCGCGGCTATGCAAGAGGTATTTCAATAAACAATACAAAAAATACAGAAAAAATTTGATTCAAAACAAGCCCTTGTTTTAAAACACGATGTTTTTTTTTAGAATTTGTAAAAAACAAAACCCTACTTACCATTAAACTCATTCGCATAAATAATGAAACTACGCCTCGAAGGGGAGTAAATTTGGTTTACCATTCAGTTGCCGACAAACTTTATTGAAAGAAATATTGATCATAAGAAGAAAAAAAATTATTTTTTGAAATCCCTGTTGGTAATGGGAAACCTATATACAATTTTGGAAACATATTTAAGACATTTCGCAGTGCTGCATTCACATCTATTTGTCAAATATACTCATTCGGGCATAATTTCCAACAAAAAACAATACTTTCAATTGATTATTGGTGAAAGCTTTCTTCTTTGCATCTTAGCAAACAGTAAAAGGTTCCTAAGATCACAATTTTAACTAGCAATCTCATTCCATCGATAATGAGATTAATATTTTGTGATTTATTAGTTTTGTGTTGCATATTCCAAAATGCATTATGTGGTTTTCATGTTAAGCGCTTGCCTTTCATGTCATGTATCTTTGATTTTATAGGTAATTCGTAATAATATTTATTATTTTGGAACCATTTTTGGGGTAATTCAATAGTTACAATTCAAATCAATTATCTGTTACAAATGCTCCTCAAACATTTAAACCTATTGAAAGTTTGATTTTTTATATAATCTTACAGATGAATCAACGAATATTCAGGGTAAGTCGATCAACATATCTATCGACAACAAATTTGTAACAAAGCTACAAACACTAAATAACCAGTATGATATTAATAATAGTTTAAAGCGCATAACATTCTTTTTAGGCAATATAGAAAATTTTACAATAAATCATGTTTGATACACTCGGCATTCTAGCCCCTTCCTGTTTTATCACATCAATATCAGTTTCCCAATAAATTTGAGATGATATCTTGCGCAAGAAAATCTTTGGTGTGAGCAATCGTTATTAACATATGCTAAATATAATCACTTGACTATTGGCATATATCTATTCAAACCGAGTATAAAATAATATTTTAGTTACCTACCTTTTACTCACTGATGACAACCACAATCAGCCCAAAGTCGAAATCTTTGAACGTTTCATTGAGAAAGCTTTTTACCTCAAGGAGACATTTAACATACATTTTGCATATTGTCTCAGTGTATATACACAAATTTCATTCTACAAATAATATAAATCTAGCTCTTGTAATTTGATTTTAGACGCGATCTCTGATTTGATTGTTAGTGCATTGTCTTATCCATGATATCAATGAAAATTGGCAATTTTGGAATAAACACCCATAAAAACTTATGGTTTTGATACTCTTTTTTTGCTAAAAAAATATATTATTTGAGGAAGCTGTAAAGTTTGCTCAACATGTTGCAAATTTTGAATACAAATATTAACACTCATTTTCTTTTAAATTGCATATTATAGTAAATTTAGACAGATATTATTACACGATTCATTCTTCAAGTCAAAAATCTTCAATGTGTTATCTTTAGCGGAAACAACAAAAATTCAGACAACGCAAGGAGGTAATGAACTTCACATTGAAATTAGTCAATTACTTTAATTTCAGATTTTAAAAATATTCTCGTTGAATTTTTTCTTTTGAAATATTGTTCAAGGAATTGTACAATGATGATCTATAGCAGGTGTGTGGCCCGCGGCCTGTGAAGAAATGCCAATTTTAAATGGTGTGCGTCCCGCTAAGCGAATTCCTAATATAGTTCAATATAGTTCCTGCGAGTAATTCCAATCAATTTGAAGCGAACAACGTATGTAATAAGATCAATAAACAAACCGTTGGTACCTGCAACATCTAGAAATCCATGTTAAATAAAATTGTGGCCCACGGTGTGACACAGTTATTTGTATCTGGCCCTCCTGTATTAAAAGTCTGGCCCCTGGCACACTTAGCATTGCAGAGGATAATTGCCTAATAATCAAAAGCAAATGGCTGTTAAAATGTGAATAAACATCGACGAGTTATATGTAGTTTGTGATAGTCAGCAGTGAGATTTAGTTTAGTAGTCTGATTGCAGCAAATATGCAACTGGTTTATGTATCTAAGAAATGGGACCATCTGATAAAGGTCATCTAATGACTTCGACTCGACTCCAGGTCACCAACAAAGTAAACTTAAACTTTCGATAGCAAAATAGTAGAGCTAATTTTTCTCTGAATCCTGACTTCTGAATAAAAAATATGACTACCGCTACAACCCACTTTAAATAGTTTCAATGCTCAGCAGCAACCACGACTTCAATACCAAAGTTTACATGTTTGCATAAAATTTTATTCTATTGATTACATATAGTGTTAAATTTGATCAAAATTTCACATATTTCAACAAAAATATTTTTTTGTTTTGCAGAGCATGAAGTATATATCAATGCCACAAAAAGTGGGTAAATTATTTAGTTTTAGTTTTAAAAAATAGAATAACTTTATGCCTCGTTATGCTGATGAAGTTCAATAAGGAAAGTTTTGGCTCTATTTAATCATCGATGGTGAACTGTTGCTTTCAACAATTGGGAAAACAACGGTAAATTACCCAAATGATTGCTGAAGACCACTAGAATAATAAGAGTTTTTGCAAATTAAATCAGAACTGTTAGCAGAAATTGTGGGCTCATAAAGAAAACTTATTTCACAGATCCTGTTTCCATTTTTTCCCAAATTTTTTTTATAGGTTTTTATATATAAATTTTATATGGGAAGAGTCGTAAAAACACAGCAAGTCTAAATATACTGATAACATAAACCTACCTGCGATGTGACGATTTCAGCAATTCTCATATACAAAATCCACCCCCATAAATACTTTCTGAATTTAAAAAAAAAAGATTAAAATAGGTAGCCATTGAACAAACGCTTTGTTAAATCAAGCTTTGGAAAAACAAAAAAACAACTCAATAATTATTGTATATTTATATATGAATAGTCTATATGACTAGTAACAATTTATTGAAATATGATTATTTGATCGTTTTTTGAATTTGAGAGCTTTAATCTGGGCCTCAATGTAGTGATCTAATAAATCAGCAGACCACCCAAATTACATAATTGGGCTTCAATAGACTCATTTCCACCTGAACGCAAACTATAAAAAGAGTAGCGCAAAAGAACCAAATGACAGTCAAAAATGGGTACCAATTGGCGTAAATATTTCAATTTTTGTATTACAGAAGCAGTAGTGGACGCAGAAGCGACAGTTACCCGTGAGATGAAATTTTATATTTCATTAATTTGTTTCATTATTGATCAAATTCTGATTGTAAACCAATAGTCATAAATTGGGCCAATTTACATATTTATCGCCGGGGTGAGGAAACCTTCGCATGGGATTCGAACCTGCTAACTCACATAGGGTGATCGGAGGTGCGGTGATGAGAATATTTCCAGCGCTTAGAAGGATGCGCCACACCACCGAGCCAATGGTCTTCATATCCCAGAAAGATATTGTTTAACCTATAATATTGTCAGATATTGACAAGGCTATGATATTAACCATCCATATTATCATAGAAACTTTTCTTCATCTTTCTCTCAAGATGTAAACTTTAACCTTATTCAATAATAAAAAAATATTTGACCGCCAAAACTAGAAAAAAATAGTAATGATTATACATATTTATATACCTCGTGTGAATATGCATATTTTACTTAACAGAGCACATACTGAGTGTTACTGGTAAGCTTTTATTATTCAAAAACTATACATTTATAAGAGCGTTGGGGAATAAATTATGGTTTTGGCAAAAAATACTCGAAAATCACTAATCACACCCTTATTAACATAAGAAATTTTTCCCAATGTTCTTTCCTAAGCTTAAGATGTAAACTTTAGCCTTATTTCATAATTGAAAAATATTTCATAGCTAAAACTAGTAATAGTAATAAATGTTATCACACCCATATGATTGCATCACTGTATAAATGTTATATATTACTTAACAGCGCGTGTAGAAATTATTGCCGGTAAGTGTTTCTATTATTTTTGAATATTCAAGTATCATATGCCCACCATAAATGAACTTTCAACTAAATAGATAATGAACTGTAAAAAGTTTATTGAAGAAAATACTCTTTTTGTCTTTTCAGCAATGAAATCAGTTTATCTCTTAGCAAATTTTATAATATTCAGTGAGCTTTAAACCTAAAAAACATTTTTCAGTTCTAATCAGTTATAAAATTTATGTATTTTTTCAGATAATGTGACAGAGATAAAGAATATAACGGAAGGTGAGAATGCACAAAAATGCCATGTATCTGCACTGTGATCATCAGTCAAAAGTAGCTTGATCACTATTACATTTTTGTACACAGAATGTGTGGAAGGATTGCTATTCTATTTTAAATTATGGAAGCGCTTTTATATGACAACTGGGATATGACATTTATCTTTTTTGCAATATACTGTTATTAGATTTGTGAAAGAATGCTCATACTATTTCCAAAGTTTTTTCTGATAATTGGGTCTCAAGTATGTTTTGTTTATCAGTTTCTAAGTTATTACAACACATATCTTGTCATATCGTTGCAACGTAATTAAACCCGCCATGTATAAAACACCAAATGTTTTTTGGAAACTTTTAAAACTTCCATTTTAAGTTTTTAAACACTAGACATTTTTAGAGAACGTTTTTGTAAATTTAATTTTTATCCAGTTTACACTTTCTCAATGAGATTTGACCACTCACACGAAAATATCCCATCTCTTATATATAGTTTTCATAAACACGCTCTTTAAAAATGTTGATGGGTTTAATACCAGTGGATGGAAATCTTCATGGGTAGAAGCATTGATACCAATGATAAAATTCTGATTGACTCGGCTTAGTTGCCTCATTATTATCATTGAAATACAGCCTTTTGTTTATTATCTCAAACCTTATTTATCTAACAAATTAAATACAACCTTTTATTCCCCAAACTTCAGTAAGAAATCAATCACCTTCAAGAAATCAAATGAGTAATTGAATCAAGATATTCTCTGCTCGCTCTTCTTGATACAAACATGGTTAATTTGGCAGTCACAAATCGAGACAGCTTAAATATTCCTTTTAATTATTTGGTGAATTTATAGCTGGAACATGACTGCAGAATACCACACCTCAACATACTAAATGATATGAGTTAGAAGATTTTAGGATAAGATGAATTTGTATATTTTTAATTTTCAGACAGAACAGCTGAAATTCTGAGTAAGTAGGGATGAAAATAATAAATCAAATATAAATCCAAAATGGAGAGCTATATTCTACTTTCAAAAAAACAATGACTTTGAACAACATATAAATATAGAATAAATTTTCAAACTTTTTACTAAAAAACGGAATTCGATTTTGTGGCGAATGTTTATTAGCACAATGGGGTCTGTCTGATATATTCATTTCCGTTGTATTTGAAGTCAAAGTGAAACTTTTAAAATAATTTCCATTTTTTTCATGTTCAACTGTATATTCTTCTCCCCTTTATTTGGCATTTTCGACACATAAAGTTCCTATGTTAAAAATATGAATTTATGTATCAAATACCATGCTCATATGTTAGAGGACCAACTGTTGAAAATTTCTAAAATCATTTTTTTTATTTCCAATATAAATAAAATAATTAATTAATGAAAGTATTTTTTGTATTTAGCAAAGATGGGTGAATTGGATACGCTAGTCAAAGGTGAATTGGTATTTAAAATATGATAAACACAAAGGATCATTTTTATTCTATTTGACAACTATCTCTATTTAGCTGAGTCATTGCTTGGACAGATAATTAGGAAATTCTCACGATTTTGACAATAACAATTATTAGCTAATTGGCGATTGGAGATAATGACTTATTAAATGCTTGTTTTTTTATTTATTCAGTTAATTATTTTATTAATATTTAATTAGCCGAATCAACCGATATCCAGGGTAAGTGAAAACATAATATTTTAGGGGAAAGCTTTGTAACAATATATAAATCACAGAATGTTTTTACCATTATATTTTGATGATATTATGAAAATAAACTCTTCGGTTTCAACTTTAGGTTATTTTCTTTATAAACAAAATTGGTTCCAGCGCAATTATATTGAATGAATTTTTGTGTCACAGACATTTTGATATATTTACTCTATTTTTTGTTCATTATAAGCATGATATTTTCTTGCCATTCTGTAAGAAATTACTATATTCATTGTTTTAGCGGAAACTACAAAGATTCTGACAGCACAAACGGGTGAAGTTTATTTTAGCTAAAAAAGTAGTATTTTCTCTTAAAAACAGTGTGATTTGAATCTGATGGTTCTGCAAGCCAAAATTCTATTTGCCAAAAAAATTATACTTTTACGCAATTAAATGAAATTATACCATCGGAACATTAATTCGTCAATTTCTCGTTTCAAACTATGTTTAAATCAATGTTTCCTCGACTTTTGGGTACAAAAAAACTTTTCTATACTCTACGCTCAGCGTCTACAATGATAAGTTTCTGTGGTCTATTTCGAAAATGACGTATGACTTTAGGACGTTTGGGATGTTTAAAAATACTAGATTGTCTTAATATTACTGACAACTAATATCAGCCTAGCCCTAGTATGACATGGTATTTTTGAGAATGTTTTTTGTTTTGTTTATTAAACATATTTGCTTGTTTACAGCACATAAAATGGTCAGCGATGGTTTAACAAGTAAGTATAATCAAAAAGAAAAAAAAAATATTTGCCTCGTCAAACAAGAAATTGTTGTTGTCGTTAAAAAAAGATTCCTTTACTCCACAACTAAGACATTAATTGATTTGAAATTTTTTGTACTTAAACGATTGGTGCTGCTAGATGGCTATCATATATTTCATTTATTTCTAATTTTCCTTAGTCCTATCCCTTACCTGTATTTCCCCCAAAATTTGCTGTTGGACACTTTTAGTTGAATATAGAAAACACTTTATTTCACCATGCATTTTCGCCGATCATTTTAGCGCACTTAGCTTCAACCTCACCGTACCGGCACTGATGCAAACCCACTTCAAGTCCATGTGTTTAAGAATTGCTCTTTTATTGCACCCTTGAACGTTTTTCGCTTTAATGTATATTGTTTTAATCTTTTGCTGTTGTTAGTCGACGTAGAGCCTGAAATATATATAATGATCAATCAATACTTGTTGAAAACGATTTAAATCTGAGTGAGAAATTTCAATTGTAGAATAATATACAGTCACACACTGTTTTGAATTCATATTTCTTTATACCAGTCAAATTCGATCTATGAGAAAACGATAGTATAAAAAAGTGGAAACAATCATTAAAAGAGTTTCTCTAATGCAATTATTTTACCATGGCAGTAATAGGAGCCCTTCGCAACCTTATCCTATTTTATTGCTCCAAATGCGCTTTTGAGGTTGTACTTTGTTTAGGGGAGAGTGACAGATGATGTTTTTCATATTCAATTTTATAATCCATATTCTTGTTTTATAGCTGCAGCAAGTAACCTGAGCACTACACTTGTCAGTGAGTTGAATTTCTATTTCATTCATTTCTTCTGAATAACACTTATTTGGGATCATTGCCTATAGCCAATCATAAACATGTACTTTTGACTTACTGTTCAAATTTATGTGACCTATTTTTAGGGTTAATCAATGATTGTGTATTACCGGTACTTAACTATCACAATAGTATAGAAAACATGGATTGATATCTCGCAGCTTTTTAAAAATTATTTTAGTACGTTATCACACCAATCCTAGACGCAAATATTTATCAATTCTAAAATTTTTTTGGAGTTGCTGCTAATTCGATATGAATGAATTTAAATACGAGTTGAATTGAAATAAAAAGTTCTCATCATTGACCTTGCTTATTTTGACTATAGAAACTAGTTTATATGACTGGTCAAACAACCAAATCCACCTTTGTTGATAATTTGAATGAATATTTGATGGCAATGCATATTTAAACAATGTAACCCATTTACAATTGAGGCAAGTTTCATGCGTTTTTATTGTAGTTATGAATCCCACATGTTTCTACCAAATTTTTTTACGTTACATATATTTGTGCATTGCTCTCTCGTTTTCGACTATATTGCATGACCTTATACTCAACAGCGTATTTTGAAATAAAAAATTTATAAACCAAAAAAATACAGACGGACATTATGTCATAAATCGAAAGATTAAAAATTGTTTTGTGAACAATCCCAACAGACATTCAACCCATAGGCACCGCTTGTTTTATATGTTTGTGCTTGTCTTCACAAAAATGAAAATTACTTGTTAAATTTATTTCTTCATTTTACAGCACATAAAACAGTGATCGATGCAATAAATGGTAAATCAATTCCTATAAAGAATCTCTGTATTAACTGCTAAAATGTTTTATTCTTATTATAAATTCCATGTTATCATTAATTAAGTGTATGATTAGGAATATTTTCACAAATTCTTGAATGAACATTATTTTTTTTTTTATAATTTTTTTGATTTCTTTATGAGCTACACTGCCCGCCGGCTTAAATAACCTTCCCCAGAATCACAACTTTGTTATGATGTAAAAGAATATTTGAATCGAAAAGTACTTTTATATTCTTCATTTAGCTGTAACATCAACATTGGGCACTACTCTAGGCGGTGAGATGATTTGTTTTATTCAAGAACAAAAGCCAATTTGAAAATATTGTGTGGAATGTATATATCTGTTATTTCATTTCAAAAAATGTTGATTTTCTATATCTGCGTTTTGCATTACTTCAATGTAATAAAAAATATTAGTATTATCTCTCGAGTAAGCCACTCATTTAAAGGTTTGAATATGATGAATTGCAATTATTTATCCAGAAATTTTTTTGCTTATATTGGAGTTAGCTCGGTATGACAGCATTTTCAATTTAAACAATTGCTTTATCATTCATTCATTTTAAAACAAAGTGTGTAAAATTAAAATGATGGAATCTCTTTCTGTATCTCCATCCTGTTCTGTAGCATTAGGGCATTGATGATTGGTGTAATATTTTATTGTTTCAAATGATTTGGTTTACAGGACATAAAACAGTTATTGATACCATAAACAGTGAGTGAAATTGCGTAAATGTATGCCTTAACTAACTATATTGTACATGGTGTCAGATTAACAATTAGAAAAAGAAATGTTGTACTAACACTGAGTCCCAGTTTGCAGACTTTTATTGGTATTGTTTTGAACATGTATCCCGTCTCTGTTATACCATTTATTTACTAGACAGATACTGTTACATTTTTGAGGTAAATAAACAAACATACCGTACATATTTGAAAACCGAGTTGAAGTCCAAATTTTAAATTCTTTGATGATGCGTAAAATTTTGGTCACAATAGTCAATTAAAGAAAGCTTGTATACGCTGAAATGTTTGTTATCGAATGTCAGTTTTCTCTGAGTTAGAAACTGTGAGTCAGTTTTCTCTGAGTCTTCTTCAGCCTGAATTAATTTGCAGAGACAAATTTTTTTGGTATTTTGTGTTAGCTAGGAACATTTTTCGACTCATATTCCCAATCTCAATGGCAATAATGTGATGTATGTTTGAAATATGTTCTAATAAATTCAATATTGATGATATTAAACTGTGAATTTGATAACCTAACATTTTGTATTGTTTTCAGCAAACACAGCTAGTCTTGTATCATACACAAGTAAGCAAAAACACTTCGTATGAAAATTATGTAAATGTAAAGTCAATTTGAAATATTTTGTTTTTGTTGAACCGGTGAACAATTTATTCGGGCTTGCGAAAATATTTAAAGCATATAAATAGCATTCGTTTGAACAAACTAACTTCATTTTTATCATGTTTATCTAGCTGATGTAACTGCAGTGAAGAATCTAATAACCAGTGAGATTGTTATTTTAAATTATTTGTATATTTATCGTAATTCGTAATGACCTAATATTTTTACTGTTTTTTTAGAAATGCTCAAATTGTTGATAATTAATGAAACTTTACTCGAATTACCTGTTCACAAAATGTGCAAATAAATATTCCATATTTTACAGACCATGATACTAACATAACAGGTAAGTGAATGAATGCGTACTAGTTACAGGATCAAATAATATCAATTGACAATGTAGATTTCTTTTACCAAATAAAATCATCTGAATAATGGGTGTCAACCTGTAAGATTGGTATATCAAAACAAAATTGGCATTCACAGCAGTGAAGTCACAGCTCAACCATGCCTAATAGAAAAAAAAGGCATCAAATTGAAAAATCACGAATTGCATGTTTATGTAGATTGTAGACTGTAGAGAAAGACCTAGTGGTCAATGGCGATAAACTTGGCTTATATGACTTTAAACCAAATCTGTTCGTGTTTGGAAACATTTATGGAAGTAAAACATTGATAAACTCTTTGTACACACGCGTTTACAGTCAAAAGTGATGTGTTAAATTCCAATAGTTTTAAGCTTTCATTTGTTAATGTTCGAAGTGTTAATGTATCAGAAAAAACTCGATATTTTTTTAACAGCTATGTGAAATATAAACAATGTATTAGACCGCCACATTTGAGTTGCGTTGTTGGTAGCATTGTCTCAAACTATGAAACCAGTTTCAACCAGTGTTTTATTGCAAGTTTGCAATATTATACGTTTTTGCTTATTTTGTATAGAGTTGATGCATCAATATGTGTGCTTTTTATTGATTACGGGTATTGAATACTTGTCCTAAAGCCAAGGTTTGATTTCATCATGGGACGAGCATAGTTAGGCCTTCTTAATGCTTTGTTTGTGAGTGTGGGAACTGGCTTTGAGTCGACTTGTTTTACAAATAATAAACTCAGACTAGAGAATCTTTAACTCTTTTTCATCTGTTTCACCTGGGTTCATTTTACATGGGTCACTTTCAAATGTTTTTTTTATCAACTATTAGGCCCTAAACATTTACTCACGGCTTTTTACAAGCGTATGCTAGAGTTCTATCTGGCTATATAACTTTAAAAACCACTCCTCTAATCAAAAAATTTTTATGCGACGAAGTGGCCAGAAATTTGTAAAAAATGACCTTGAACTTGAGAGTAGGTGTGCCTAGTAGAGAGTTAAGAATTAATTGTAACTAATGAATTTTCATTCTAACGTTTTCTTCTGCTATTTTACAACAAAACCCCATCGCAACCTTTATTATAGAAAAATAGTTACTTTGAAATTCACGTTTATATTACGAATTCAACACCTTAGTTGGCAGTTTTGATGACGTCACACCCTAATTATTACTGCACCACGGATTCCTGATGCAACATATGTTACTTTTTTCAAAAATTAAAACGCGTAGGCAGACGTAAAAAAGGCAATACGCGTCATTTCAATAGAATTTTACGTTCTATTATTTTTTACAATTTTACCACCATTTACCAAGCCTGCCCGGGTGTAAAAAATTTTTTTATACCGCTTTATGAACAAGCATGATTCTAGACCCATAAAAATTCCATCAGAAGAGCCAACTTACTTGTAAGGCAGTATGGGTATGTTTCTTGGAAATCAAAAAGCGCATCGATGAAAGGTGTTTTTTTTTTCGAATCAATATAAAAGCCACATTTACACGATTACGGACGGTATTGCGTGTTTTTGGTTTCGGAAATAGTCCTTGCCAAGAAAGACCAATTATTATGATGAACAAGATGGCTATGAACAAGTAGAAGCTGCATATTCTGATATTGCATGATTGACCAATCACCAGAACTCTTCTTTTTTCATTTTTTAAAGCAAATAAGCTATTTTACGAAAGTGCAAATCTTAATAATATATACATGTGTACCTTTTAGAAAAAGTTGCCGCCTTGTCAAAACTCGTCACAGGTGAATCATGTTTGTAATTTTCATTCAAGAGTAGATATAGCAATGTAATAATTTACCCTACAAGCTCGATACAAAAAAGTTGTACCTGGATTATCAGCTTGTTTTTATGTGTTTCAGATAAATAATTAGTCGGCGACATTGCCACAAAAATTGTGTTTGTTCTATATTTTTTGTGCATACTTTGCATATACTTATAGTATATTTTTTCTAGATAAGACAGCTGAGCTTTCGACTGACGTACAGGGTGAGGGAAAAACGACATAATTTAGGAAATAATATAATTATACATTTTGATTGTGAAGATGAGACTTATGAAGATGAAAAGCATATATCACACTACTCAATTCTTTGTATTTTGTATATAATGTACAGTACGTTTTCTCACTATGAAATAAATGAGAATTTCCTACACAATAACGAGGTAGTAAATGCACCCATACATAAATAATGTTTAAAAAATGAATTTTTGTCGAGTGTGCAGCAGGACTCGCATAGTATGGTATTTTTTCCTGCTACAGCATACGGATCCAATAGCATCCAAGGCATTGAGGAAGGATTGAGAGTTAGTCTCGCGTAACCTCTACTGATATGCAAAAACTATGGTTTCACGGGAAATGCCCTACTCATATTTACCTAAATACTTCTATGAAAACCATATATTTTTTATAATTCACAAAGTACCCGTGGAAAACTTAGAACTCTTTCATGAATCGTGGTGTTGCATGATAATATACCTTCCAATATTGACGGTTATATATTTAATATTGTAATTATTATCGAATCCTTTCCGAATCGAATCTTTGATAATGTAACTTGATTTTTCAGACGTCAGTTTAATTGCCCCCTCGAAATGCGATGACGTTCGTGCTGATAAGGATGTTACAATTCAAGTAGATGCTAGGATATATTTTGATCCTCATGTATTGGGAGGCCGTAGTGTCCGCTGCTACCCAGAGATATCTCACAAGGGAGACGTCCCGGCAGTGTTCGACGGACCATTTATGGTAAGACTAATTGACGTCATGGATGTTAACTATTAAGTGCGGTTTTGTTTGTATATGAATCGCTCCTCATAAAGGTACAATAGCTAGCAAAAAACTGCTGACTTCATTGGGCTAAATCCAATATAAGCTATGTTGTTTAAATACATTGCTTGTGAGAACATCATTCAAATAACATGAAATATTTTAATACTAAATATATTGTATTGACAATGCACCATGCTAGAACATCTTCCACATATTTGGTAATTCAATTTCAGCTGATTCAGAGAAATGTTAATATTGGAACATGGGATAAAGACCTATCCGACTATGAACAAACATTTGGCGACTTAATGAGCGATTATTGGTTTGGTAGGTTTTAGTTTCTATGGTCCGAATACCGAGAATAAAGTTAAAAGTCATTGGCTGTATTACAGTTTGAAAATAAAAAATATGACTATATTGAGGAGTGCAAAGATGATTAACGTTGACTATAGCCGAGGCGTTTTGCTAGGCTCCATAGAAACCTTCAAAAACCTGGACAATGAAATGATCCTGATCTGATTGTGCGACGTGAGAACGAGAAAACAATTTTTGACGTTTAATATCAATAAAAACACAATTTTTTAGGTATTTTTTTTTTAAATGTCACCATTACTCGTCCGGTCTCATTGTCTCCATTTGGTTATTTCAATTATATCTCATAATGCTTATTTAAAAAATAATTTATTTAAATTAATACTCAAATCAATTTTCAGGACTAGAAGATTTACATACCGTGACTAGTAAAGAAAAATACAGTTTACTCATTATTGCTATAGAATCGTCCCCGATGGCAAATAAAATGCATGCGCTTAGTTTCGGGTGAGTATTTCATGTATTTTTGAAATCTTTCACTAATTTACTTACCGTAATGGTACCTACGTTACACGGGCAATTGTACCTTTTTCTATCCTGTTCTTTGTATCAATTACATACTCGCTTATTGATTCAATATGAATAATTTGCCCAATTTGGCTCGCACAGAGTAAAGGTTGATTATCACTGTTCATGTCTCGCACTTTGAGGTTTGCAGTTTCAAAATGCCGTAACAAATTTTTTTTTCTCATCCAAAATGAGCTATAAATGTGGTACTTTGCAATGCAATGTAAATGGTACTTTTAGCAATTGGCAAGCTTTATTAAAATACATCTTAGGATGATAGACAAAGCTGAAAGCTTCCATTATGAGTTTTATGTTTTTGATTCAATTTTTCTCGAAGTAGAGTATATAAGCATTACTTAAATGTAAAGTAAATATATTCCCCAAAGTCCTATGATAGTCAGCCACTGGGCCCCCAAAATCTACAAATTATGTTTTGTGAGTTTAACGCGTCGTGGAAACTGGACTAAAACCTGATGACGTAAAGTGTCAATCAATTAATTCACGTCAGTTTTATCAACGGAGCTTACAAGACTTGAATTTAAGAATAATTCAACTACCTGTCATCCTACAAATTTAGCTTACACGCACTGATTCCATATGCACACCATTGAAACCCTCAACACCAGCAAATCCGAGATGATTCGACGCGAATAGATGGATTTTTTCTATTTAGTCATGCAATTCCACTCCCGAATTCTTATATCTCAGGTGATTGACCGTAGTTTTGCTTTGCGCAAATCTAAACTGCAGAGTTCAACTGCTGCTGCTACCATGGATTTGCAAAGAATAGGATTTACATATTTATACCGAAATAGGGGAAAGCCGATAAGACGGCCTAATCATATGGATAACCACTACTTCTCAACAGGTTACCATCCCATGTCGAGTATTTGTTTCAGGTGCAAGGACTTGATGGTGAAGGAAGCCGTAACCAACCAGCGGTTGCGTGAACCACCCTGCAGCGGCGAGCAGTCCAGCGATCCTCTCCCGCGTAATTACCCCCACGAGATTCGAACCTGCGAAGAGGGGCGTTTAGTATTCATCAAAATCATCTTATTCATAGTTCATATATATATATATATATATATAAATCCCTCCCAATCGTTTATAATATAAATGCTTCGTTGAATCCAGTGAATTCAAAGTGGGTGCAAAAAGCACAGGTTGGGTGCTGACGTTAGCTGAAAGAAACTACGACATGAAATCAGATCATCCTGGCGGTGAAATGTTCATAGAAAGTTCACACGGCGAAAAATTTTATGCACGGGACACGAAAACCGCGGGCAATTCAAAATGTTTGGATCCAAATATGGGTGGATGGTGGATGAAAGAAAACACGGCGGAATGCTCCAACACAAATTTGAATGGTGTAATCTCGTTTTCGAGTGGAAGCGAAGCATATAAAGAGACACGGATGTATATCAAAACTAATCCAGCGACCTAGGTAAATATGTATAATTAGTAATTTATTATCTCGTAATAGTTCTTTGCAATAAAATTCAATGACCATTCATCCTTGAATTCTTCATGTACTTCATTCACCATTGCCATTAGGTGCTTATTTAGAACTTATTTTTTTGCGAGTTGGCGCTTATAAACAGATCCGCATGTTTAAATACCACCATTTTGATTTAAAATACTAACAACCAGTCACTTTAAACTTAAAACTTTCTGGAAGACAAAATGACTATAGAGATAATTTGATCTATCCAAAATATTGGAACAAAACTAAAGAGTAGCTGGCAAAATCTACGAAAACGAACTTATAATGTTTACAATCGCTCTTCTGTTTGAACGAAAACAAGTGTCATAGCGCTGGTCAAAATTTCAATTGCTTTGTCACGATTGACATCTTGCTAATTAGATAATGTTATGTGAGTAATTATGAAAGTTGCTGCATTATTTCGACTGTTAAAAAGACGAGCAAATAATTCGCCACATGCATGTCTCCCATTTCCAAATAAAATATTCCTTAATAATTGCTTAAGTACCCTACCAAGTGGATAGTAGCTTAAATACCATGAAGTTATTTATTCTCAAATATGATAAGGCCTTCATCGGCCACGAAATGTAGATGTGAATCATCTCTTCTCTCTACAACTTATGGACCAATCTTGTTCAACTTTACAGAACATAAGATGGAAAAATTCGCTAGACGTCAATTTTTGATTTACTTTTTCAAACTGCTAGAAGCTATGGTACCGTACATCTTCCCTAATTTCACACTCTTTTGAAATATATATATATGTTATTTCATTCTCTCAAACAGAATGCTAGAATATCACACGAAGCGGGAAATCCTACATGTATATCGTTCACCGTGATACAATATGTTCAGTCGGGTGACCGTACATTTGAACCCATGTACATTTGAACCCATGCGTATATCCACGGGTTCAATCTATATACGGGTGCTAAAACCCATGGGTTAGGGTTAGTATGGGTTTAACTATCCGTGAAACACAAAAAATTCCATAGGTGCAATAGCATACAGGTGCAATTGTCATGGGTTCAAATGTACGTGGGTTCAAATGTAATGTAACCGTTCAGTCGTGATAATTCCTATTTACAGTCTTTAGCGTGCTTTTTGCGCATGAGGTTTACTACATGCAAATGAATCGTTTCAAGTTCATATTTCGATTTTATCAAGAATTTATGACATCTCTCTTATCCCGAATAATATTAATACGGTGAAACATTTTGCGTTTGCAAATAAGCTTTGAAAACTGCAAACTTTATAAAGTCGATGTTTCGTATTTGTGTGTATGTGTTTGGATTGCTACAATTTATGAATAATAACGCCTACTTACCTTGTTCGTGGAGTATATATAATCATTTTTAAATCCTCCATTTGTTTCTAATCATTCACTGATTTCAATTCACAGGCTTTTTACTTTGAACAAAAAAAGTCTGTCTTCTGGATTCAGTTGGATTCAAAAAACTTCTTTACTTATATTTTTTGTTCTCAAAAACGCTAGAAAACAAATTTTTCATTGATGGATCCATATTAACCACTTGTATTTCAACTCCGTGTGGGTATCGATGACTGGTTAAACTACGGATACTCAAATACGTTGCATAGTGCGGGTGAAAGAAGAGACCCATGCAAAAAGAGTTTTCGTTTTCCCCCTTTTCAAACGCAGTCTATAATAATAGTTATTTGAATGTCGATAGTGTAAAGCTGGCTGACAGAAAATGGTGTCAGTTACAATGTCTTATTAGTGTCGTTGGTATTGTGTTCGGTGTTTTAATTTCCCGCTGAAATAGAATGACTTTTACTAGTAGATAAATGATTTTAAGCGGGAATTCCGTCGTATTTGTTTTTGCTGAGTAAAACAATTTTTTTGATGTCAGTTAGGTCTGACTGAAAAATTATTTTAATGCAACAGCTAATAAATTATATATTGATGTATATATATGGCGATGATTACTTATCGTGTTAGCAGCAGAATGCGTAGCAACATGCGATAAAGTTTTTCGTTGCGTCTAAAATTACCCAAGTCAAGTTTATTTTTCAAATTGCTAGCGAGAGTAGTGACGACGGCATATCCAAATTCTAGCGATCTCCCACCAATATTATTAAGCATTACTCAAAAGAAATAGGAATCGCTACCAAGGAAATCAAATATTATCGACGAACGTTTACGAAAGCCCCAGAATTAAAGAATCGGCGTGATCATGTAGGCATGTGTTTTTGATTCCATGTTTATAGGTTTATCCACGAATGGTTTACTTTTATCATAATGCTACGTTCATGGGGCACATGTTCTATTTTTCTTTCAGTAAAATGCCCTATAAAAGCGGTGGGCCTGAGTCTCTTACCGGGGACCCCTGACTCCCAAAGAGTCCGCAGAACAGTTGAAGGGAGGCCACAATACAAAGCGCAATTTTGATTTTACTTTTACAAGAAGATCAACCGGTTCATATTAGTTTCATAGCTTGAAAAGATTGTTTCACGGGGTGTTTTCATTTTGTTGATCATGAATTGTTTGAACATAATAGAAATTCGAATCTACTAATCAAAGTAGCACTATAAATACCACTGGAATGATAAACTGAGGACCACGGACCATAAAATTCTGAGAAGAAACGGATCTACTAAGTATCGTACCACGCTTAGTATTTGCTTAAATATTCCGATTCAAGCGGTCGATGAAAAAGGCGTATTATGTTATCTACTGATGAGTAAAGAATAATCCAACACTCTTCTATTGAAGCCCCGTACGTTTCTTCTCCGTAGATGAACAGATAGATATAGTGTTCATAATCTGCCTTTGAATTGAACAAAAACGTATTATAATAAAAGTGTGTTACTACCTTACCTATCGCTAGATCGCTATCGCATATATTATTAAGATGTTATACGTTCATTAGATTTTATAAAAAAAATTACAGTGAAACGTCACTACCTTCAGAATTAACTGACGTCGTGTTGATTAACGCTACACTTTGGCACAATAAGAGCAAACTTCTTCTTGTCTAGGGAGTGTAGGGACTTGTTCCAAGCGAGAACTAACACTCTATAGGGCCCGGTGGTTGGAAATTACAAATAGGTGGATCAGCAAATATGACTGACACGGATATATGGAAATTTCTGTAGCTTTTTTTATGAAAGAATCGCTATGCAAAGGTCCAGTTTCGATGAATTTCTCAAGCGAGCCTTCTGTATGGTAGCTACGATGTCGTAATCAGTCACCTAATTAGTGTGATCAAGCAGTCTGATGACTTTCCTTCCCAGTATTTTTCTAATTTAGGCAGCAGGCAATTGTCGGACCGCTGCTATGTTCATTCCTGTCACATAGAAAGATTGCCAAATCAATCATCCTACGACGTTAATTCATGAAAAGATGCGCAGTAAAACTAACCAAGAGCATCTCTTGTAACAACGAATATTTCACCAAACAATGCATTTATTAAAGTATACATTATATAACACACCAAATATTTTATCAATACACATTACAATGGATATTTCCCCAACCTTTGACCCCCAGAAAATCCTTCCTATACTTTACCATTGCAAAATTTCAAGTGGTGATTATGAGGAGTGGTTTCGCGAGTTGGCGCCCATAGTCTGGTTATACCAGGGCCAGTTGTATAGTCTGAACGTTTTAACTGAAATTATAGTCCATTGTTGTATTTTCAATTTCCAAGATTTTAAATAAAAATGTTGAACTTTTCAAACTTGCAGTGCTCTCATGCAAATTTTAGAGTGGCAAAGATACATTTTGCTGCGCCTTCTGTCAATTTGAGATCGTAATTTTCATTAGTTAGTAGTTGTATTCATCGTTAGTATATATTTTTCCATTCATCCTTTACCCACGACTTAACCACAGTATGCTGTGATATCTCCCTGCTGGATGTACCACCTTGCCCAGCACCCACTGCAAGGTCGAACTCTACAAATTGCAGACGGATACTTCACGCAGCTAGAAAATTGACATACATCAGGACAGTTATGAATCATAAACTCCCCGGGACGACATGCTCCATTTAAAATATATCGAATGATAAGTTGATATAGGGAATTTGTCAAAAAGATGTCGCGGGCAGGAGATTCTTTGCTTATATCAGTTAAATTAGAAAAAAAAAGACTAGTTTAGAAAATATTATTTTCGTTTCCTACACAAAGATACTGGTCGCGCGTCGTCCTAAACTGCTTCTGACGAGGGCTGGGTATTTCGAATTGAATAGTAAATTTCGAATCGCAACCATCTCGGTAGAGGTAAATTCGTTTCTTAAAGCTAATTACTTTTCTTTTTGAAGCTAAATTTTTAAGACAATTTTTGTGCATTTAAAATTTGGGTATAAATATTTTAAAAGTCTCATTTTAAGTCTTTTTGCGACCTAGCATTTCAAACTGCTTTCAAATGTCCTAAAATATCGAAGCAGCTGCCGTAAAAAAGTACTTAAGATAATTCTATTCTATCCAGCTATTTCGTGCTCGTTTTTTGATTGCAGCAGGCCTACTTCACAACGAAACTAAGCTATAAGTAAAAGTAATTAAGAACCAGTTTCGAGTACATTTTCTCATGACCGCTGAGTAACTTGATTCATACCTAAATTCTAAAAGAATACGAGAAAACCGACCAATTACGCCTTCATATTACGAAAAAATTGAGGGACGAGAATTTGAAACGGAACATCTGTTGGTCTTTCCCTCGAAATGAATGACTTCAAGAACAAACGCGACTAGTAAATAAATTCGATTTTCCAGCTGATATTCTTTTGGCAATAAATATACAATTCATGATTTGAAAAAACTAAAATGTGATTCTTGAATAATTAAAACTCATTGATAGTTCACGGTTGCGTTTACTCCGAATACGATATTATTGAACCCTTTTGTTTTCCTCATTGTGATACTACGCGCATCATGTTGAGAACCTGGCGACACTTTTAGCGCAAAGTGTGGGGTAAAGTGCTCGATCATCACACGCATATCTGGTGAATTTGAGCTGATTCAACAACATCGACTCTAATTTAACGCAAAAATAATTGTCTCGTCCGAGTGAATTTGCATTCATAAATTTAAACGCTTTTTTATTGCATTCGAGTTCATTAAGCGTAAATCTCCTATTCATGAATTCAAAGCAGGGCTCAAAAGAGGGAGCTGTTTCAAAATCGGAATCGGAAATTCCCGCGCAAAGGCTTTTTATTCATGACCGATAACTACATTTGAAATGCATTGCAATATTAAATAACTTCAATCAACGTAACTCGCGGATGCTACAACTTACGCCAAAATATAACTATCAAATACCGCGTCAACCTTCGGGTTTGAAAATGCGTGGTGCACAATTGACTGTTTCAACACAGTTACTATTGCTTCCTACTTGACATAACACGGAATTTTAACGATTCACAGTGTCTAAAATAAAGTTTTTATCTGTGGCGGTGCTTTTTATACATAAATCATAGCGTTTCCGTTATATTAGGTATTTTATAACACTTTTCTCAGTCTTTGTATTCGCTCCATTATTTGGAAATTTGAGTTGTGAGTTCGTGGCGCACCTACTCGAGTGTTAATGATTTTTGGCGCTACAGAAGTATGTGCACCAATATGTAGATAAGTAATTTTGTTGGCCTATTTTACATCAAGTTGTGGATCAAAGGGACTGAAACCTGTGGGCAGGGGGTATATTCACTTGGCAAACACAGGCGGTCCCCAAACTGGTAATAGAACTGGAATGAGGAAAATCGGAATGAAATTATGGCTCTAACCTGGTACACACATGTTTTTTTGCATCAAAGCACTCTTAGTTCTCCAAGTAAAAGCATTTGGCTAAACTAACTAAAGTCGTGTCTTTGCTACAACTGATTTGCACCTGTTAAAAATATTAATCGCTTACCTGAAAAATTCACACAAGTCGTTCCACAACCTGTTGAACAGCACACGTCACCTTCTTGACAATCGCCAGATTCCGTACAGGCCGGGGTTTCAAACTCATCGCAAGTATTTCCAGAAACTTCGGGAAATGGACACATCGCATCAAAACCGGAAAATGCTGGATGATTAATGAAAACTTATTACCCTTTTTCGAACTTAGTTCGCACCAATGAATCAGAAGTATTGCTGCCTCTTGTTTGGGATGAAAATAATGCCAACCATAGTTACGGAGAGATACCAGATAGCCTTGAAGATTTCTAGTTAGAGGCCAAAACAATTTGGTATTGCAGAGCGGTTTAACCAACATGCGGGCATACCAGAGCGGCCGAGTGGAACACAGCAGTAACAGAAATATTATTTTAAATGAAATTTATATCTTTCAAGTGAGAAGTATTTTAATAATCTAATATGTATTTTGTAACCGAATTTTGACCACGCATCCTGGCTTGAAGTAAATACCCCGAAATGCCGAAAATCAATAAAATGTGAAAACTCACGTGTGGCGCACATATCTCCGCTGTATCCGTATGGGCATTGACATGTGAAGCTTTCATTAGAATCATCGTCTATGCAGAGTTTCCCCTGATCAGTGCATGTTTTAAGATCAACGGCGTTTTTACAGCCTATAAACATAAAATATAAACATAAAAATGTTATTTCATCTCATTTAGCACTCTTTTAGTATCAAAATGAAATATAGAAAATAGGCTGGAATTTAACATTACGATTTCTAAATGAGAACATTGTGTGCGAAGTTATACTACTTTTTCGTGGGTGGTTTTGTAAATTTGGAAATATTTGGAGAGAATTATCAATGCGACCACGTAAAAATGCTTCTACTGTCGATTCAGTATTTTATTGGGAATGCAGCACTTAGGATTGACTAGACTCTAGAGTATTATTTTTTCATCAATTCTAAAAAAAAAATCTTGTTTTAAAACAAGGGCTTGTTTTGGATCAATTTCTTTCTTTAATTTTCATTAAAATACCCTCTGCAACGCCGTGACACTACGCCAAAACGTTGCGTTCTAGCAGCTACCCACGCTGTCGGAATAATAATTTCAAAATGTAAGTAAAACTTCTTGCTCTGACTTTCACTTTTAGGGGCAGGGGTTGGGGGGATTCTTCAGTTGATCCGACGTTTTGAGTAAGAAAAATCATGGAACATTTAGCTCACGAGCCTAATACAATCCAAAAGCATTTGGATCAAGGGCAGCCTTCAGCAAAACAAGTGCGTTACGATAATGAGAAATATACTTAGATCGACGGCAGCCTACGGATTTATACGATGAGTTTATGTATTGACATTCTTTTCATGAAATAAAGTCATTATTACGTTTAAAACTGTTCGGTTAATTCAAATAGGCATATTTTGTTCTTGAGGTTAAAGGGATAGAGTATTTCAAAGTTATACAAACTCATTTATCCGGTCGTATTTTAGTTTTCTTCGCAGGGTGGTTCACGTAATGGCTTATCGGTTGCGTCTTCCTGCGCCAACCACGTTTGCGGACGCATTGAACTACAGCTGAAGAAGGCGTGTATGGGCAATTCGTCGATATTTGTGGCGTTTCGAAGAGTTTTTAAAGAATAATAAGCGATTGGCAAGTTTTTACATTCATTTTTCTTGTTTTAGTTTCAACCTATTTATTACAAAAAAATCAATTAACACAGTCATTTTAAACAAAACCGGCAAAAAAACTTGATTTTAAACAATTGTTTTAAAACTGTTCGGTTAATTCAAATAAGCATATTTTGTTTTTGAGGTTAAAGGGATAGAGTATTTCAAAGTTATACAAAATCAAGAGTTGTTTTAAAACAATTCTCTTTGAACAAATCCCTAGGATTGACCACCAAATTATTTAATATAATACAGATGTAACTGAAAAATTCAAGCAGAGGGAAGTCGACTATCATCTTCGCAAATGTTCATATCTCCGAGTCAGACATGATAATATTGTACAAAAAGGTTAGGGTAGTTAATCCAAAAACAAGCATGTAACCAATTTAGAAACTTGAGTAGCAAATTAACTCCTTCAATTACTTTAACACTTGTCATCGACGATTGCTTTATTAGCTTGAACTTAAAAACTCAAAAAATAAACTTCGAAGTTTGAGTTGCGGAAACATGGCCCATCAACATTATAGGGTGTCGGTCGCTGAAATCACTCAGGCGAAATACAATCAGCTATTATAACAAGATAGCATTATTTTGCCTTCACCAAGCTTTGATGTTTTTTAGGATAACGTCGAAATTTTTTGACATGTTTTGTTTGTAATTGTATCTTGCCCACTGACCGAATTTATTACATGTAAATATAACATTGGTAAAATAAGACCAAAGAGTGATAGCTTTTTAAAAAGGTTTAACATTAGGAATGTATATTGAAATTGAAAAAGGAAAAAATACACAAACATAGAAAAATATTAGGAGTTCTTATATTTAAAAAATATATATAATGACTATGATCAATCGCAAAAAACGCGCGCGTTGTTAGAAACATTTTTGTCTTCAAGCAATCTGCAATAAAAGTATTAACTTCAGCGCTTGGCATCAACTGGATGGTACATTAAATTTAACATTGTTCGAATATTCGATATTCTTCAAAAATACTCGCATCATTCTATGCGATTTATCTACTTCTAGTCTCAAGTGACCTTAGTGTTTGTATATAAGTCTCGGTGTGTACGAGTATGAATATAGTTCTATAAAATCACTTTATGCCTTCGCTGAATAATATATTCGAAAAATGTTACATTGTTTAGTTAGACTTTATTATTCCTGAGTAATAAGGTAAGGTCAAGAAACTTGAGCGTTTTCTTCACTCTACGCGGAGGTTGTTTTGAAAAAAAAAATGAAAAAAAAAACTTCGTCGTGTTCAATTGTATTTGAAGTTGTTGTATACCATATCATGTCAAATATCTTTCGCTTTCATCGGATTATCTCAGGATTATTCATCGTATCAAATCTCATACATCACTATCTGTCACGAAACTTTGGCCCTGTACTATTCCACTGTTAAAAATAATCGTGGATTTTGCCAGTGTTTTAAATCTTTGCAAAACAAATCGCTGCTTTTAATGAGCATTTGAATAGAGCGCTGGAAATTCTATGAAAGGCTACTAATAATTAACTTCAAACAAGCTCTGAACTAACAACATGTACGCACATACTATAGCAGCCCTAAAAATAATTAATTTTTCATCCCTAATGATTTTTTATCTTATTATAACACTCTTATTACATTTGATTTTATGGTATTAACATAAGTGAGAACTTAAGTTGTTGTTGTTCTCGTTGATATTTTTCCTCTTATTGTCATGAAAAAATCTCTTCTCTCATTAAATATTGGACCAATTGCCTTGGAATGGTTAGAAGTTGTACTTTACGCTGAAATGCTATTACTTTTATTTCTTTCAAAAATTTCTGTGGGCTACATGGAATTGGTTTTCTTGTGGGGGTTCCGTTTTTGCGTTAGTCTTGAAGACGTCCTTACCGGTGCGGTAATTTACTGAGACATATTGCATACCCGTGCTAATTCGTGTTTCTATATTTAAGAATCTTGATCACATGGCAATCCACGACAATTTGTCCAATTAGCTAGGTCGGGGATGGGGTTACTATGAAAGTTCCATACGTTCCGATGAATAGTTAGCGGATGAAACTGTTATGACGCTCATATTACCGGCGTCATACAGGCTTCATTCAATGCTCTCGCACACGACCATCACCTAAACGTATCCGATCTGTTATCGATTGAGAAATGTCGCATGGTCTATTTTCATTTACCCTATTTTGGTATTTGGACACGAAATAGACCTATCGTGGATCGCTTTGTTATTATGTATAGCCATGTTGTTGGTGGTTGTATTCTTGTTTTTTTTGTGAAAAAACGCATTCCCCCTTAACTACTGGATAAGTTGGTTTGGAATTGTCAATGGCTAAAAATTTTTGTTGTCGCTAGAAGGCTATTACTTTTATTTAGATTAAATAATTCTGTTGACTCTATGGGATTCATTTTTTGTGTGCGATAACGTGGCGGTTGCGCGTTCACTATCAGGTGGTCTGCCGAAGTCGGGAAGACTACAGTAGGAATGGATTTATATAGTTATCCCGGGGGAGAGGAAAGTCGATAACACGGCTTAATCGTATGGTGAACCACCACCTCTCGTCTGGTTACGGACCATTTCGGGTATGGGATTAGTTAGCCAGTTAATTGTTTTGGGAAGCATGGACTTGATGGTGAAGGAAGCCGTAACCCGTTACCGACCAGTGGTTACAAAACCACCTTACGTATTGCTTCAAAAATCATTATACAAGCAACAAGTACAGTATTGATCGAAAAAGACTATTATATATCTATAATACTGACCTGTTGGAAAACATTCATATGAACATCCATTTGATCCAACGCAACATATTTCTCCGTCCGGACACATGCGACTTGGATCATTAACGACGCATTCATAGACGAATTCGGATACCGCGCAAAGATTGACTGGATCAGTCGGTAAAGGACATCTGTTGTCGTAGCCGAAAGTCAGTCCTAGTGTTGAACATTAAAATGTTGTCAGATTCAGATATTTATTTTTATCGTGCCGGTATCAATGTACGGCAATAAACACATATAATAAAAAGAACTATCACAAACCGAAACAGCGACTCACAGCGGTTGAAGATTGAGCGACACCTTGATGCTGAATTACAGAAGAAAATATAGCAAGGAAACAATTATATATATATTAAATTGACGTAAAGTACACAACCATGAAAATAACAATAGATTACCAACAGAAACTAGAAAAATGCAAAGAACCATCATGATCTTCTAGTGGCATCTTGTGATAGAGGTAACCACGCGGCCTGAGGGGCCATGAACCCCACAAAATGAATTATTTTCAACATTTTTTTTTTAATGTAATTTTGCAGAATTTGCAGTAAGACATGAATCATGAACTCTTTTCAATACCATTTTGCTCCATTCTTTATTGTCTATTCCATTTACAAGAAAACGGACATTTCCATTTAAGTTGTTTTTTCATATAGATCAGTGGTTCTCAACCTTTTCGCGTACCGGTAAAATTTCAAAACAAATTTTGCGGACCGGCGGACCTTTAAAATTAACTAAAAATGTCATGAACACAAAACATAATCAAAATACGACAAAAGTTGGCGGTGCAAAAGAAGACAATTCAATTTAATGAAAAATTTGCTGCCGTCTTTTTAATATTATACGTGTTAAACCGGTTTTAATGAAGTTTCTGCAGGGCGAAGTAGAGCGTTGACTTTGCGGGTTTCATTGCGTCGTTTGAATTTTGGCGCAGACTAGGCACATGGGAAGCGGTAATTTTTCTCTGCTGGGAGCAATAGTGAAACCTAGCTTCAAATACCGGTACTTCTTATTAACTTGGTTTCCACCGCTGGTTTTCTTTTGTAAAACTGATTAATACTTTGCTGTTTGTTCTCAATCAGGTACCGTATTATGTGGTATCAAACTCCTCCGTTATGACGTCGGCCGTCGTTATAAGGTCATAGACTTAATTAACGAACATCCAGCCGTTCAAGACTTGAAATGGGCAGAGGACCTCTCACCAAGTTTGGTTGTTAGACGGATACCGGTGCTACGAATCAACAGGGGTTTAAAAAAAATAATAACCATGCCGTCAATACTTTGTATTTTGCAATTTGCTTATATTCCATTATTATTGGAATATATTTGGCGGACCGGCAGCAAGGATGCCGCGGACCGGCGGTTGAGAACCACTGATGTAGATGGCAAATTAGCGGCATAAGTTGATTAGGATATCCTCAATGAGTTCAAACACAGGGAAATTAGGCTGACTGATATGATCAGGCACAATGTATATACATATAATAATATGCAATTATATATAATATAAAACTGTATACTTAAGTACCGTATACTTGGGTTTTAAACATTAAATTCAACAAAGCGTAAAAAGCGGCATTTTTCTGCATCGACTGGAATTAAAGCCTCATCAACCAGTCACGCTTCTGTCATGCCGATGAACTCTGAAATAGATCGGGCTCAAAAATGAGATAAAAACAAGAATTCGAATACTCACGATCAGTACAATCATCCCCTGTAAATCCAAGTGGACAACTACAACTGCTCATTGGCGGTAGGGATTGGTAGCAAATTTTATTTTCCGTACATTCCACGGTTGATGTGCAGGTTGGTAAATGTAAACAAAATGAACTACAAAGTCACAACATCTATGAAACAACGTAATATGTGGCCTGAGGTATTATTGTGCCCAACTATTAATACAACCAAATACCCCGATAGCGTCACAGGAATAAATGGATAGTGACTAACAAATTACGATTCTTCTGTAGTATGTGAACCAAGATGGCGGACACCGGAACGTAGTATGTGTACCGGGTTATGGTTAGGCCAATTTTCCCTATTTTAGTTCTATTACAAGTTCGGGGACTAGCCAAGTGACTCCCGTAATATTTGTACCTGAAATTATGGCGTAACCCTAACCTGGTACACATACTACTTCTGGTGTCCGCCGTCTTGGTTCACATACTACGGGAGTACCAAACATACTTCGTCCAGAGAAAAAAAACTATCTCAAGTGACATTAGTGTCAGTCAGTATAAGTGCAAGTTACAAATGTATATAGTAATACAGAATCAAATAGTTCTTTCCCCGGTGAATTAATCCAGCAAGTCTTGCTTTTATAATACATGTTTCTGAGAATGGAATTTTGTGCTGCTCATATTGTTGAGACTTGATATTCCTAAATAATGAGCAACAAATAACGATCTTGAATCGGCACGTCTACGTCGCCGAACCCGATAATGTAAATCCGTAGAATAATGTAGAGGCGATATTTCCTATATTTTGAGTACAAAATTTGGACCTTTTCTACAACGCCCTCACCGAAGCTCAAAATAGGAAAATTAGTCATTATCTAGTAAATGTTAGGCACGCAGATCGCGCTAGAAATTTAAATTTGCAAATCATTCCCACCCTAACTCCAACAGGATTGTTTCTAATTTGGTATTTTAAAAGGCGGCGGGTTTTTTTTTTATCAAATCTCACATTTTTGCATTAGTGGCGGAGGCTTTGTACAAAAGATCCCACAATTTATTGATTAATTGTCGACGTTATTTATCGTCATCAGAACATATTTCTCTCGTTTCGTCGTTTGGTCTGTTTTGCACATTCCTAGAATCAATTTTTTGAAACATCGTTAGCTTAAACGTGACTTGGCCAAGTATTATTCTACAGTAAAAAAAAAAAACATTGCGATTTGCCTTCAATTTGTTTTGCAGATATTTGGATTTGCAAAACAAATTGAAGGCGAGCGCATTCCAAGCCAATAATTTCGGAATAAAATTTGCAAAAATGTTCGCATTTATTTATAACACTTTTATATATACCACACTATCGTTTATCTACTGAGAACTCGTTACATTTGCTCCGGGTGTTTATAATTAAATCGCCTTAACGCAAAGTTTGCGATGTCTCCGACTGTACCAAGCCCACGCAAATAATTTCGCACCATCTTCACTTTCATTTTTCAAATTATTGATTGTGTATTTAGTTTCAATAAAAAATTGGAGTAAACCCCATAATTATCCCCATTTACGCGTAAAGTCCCGCCCAAATTCGTGAATTTAAAATTTTAATCGCGGTGTATTGTAAAACCCATGCGTTTTAGAAAATAAAGGCTTCAAGCTGAATTTTGAAGACGTGGCGGTCCGTCTACAATCCAGTTGTATTGGTATTTATCTTCCTCGCAATGTCAAGTTTTTTCTATTTGTTACGTTTTTATTACGTTTATTACATCTGTGATGAGCCTATGATTCTACAATTTCTTTTCAGAATTTCCATTCGTAAGTCGAAAATTGGAAGTAACAGAAGGTGATAGTCATTGCTATTTTAGTGTCCTATTTGATACTTTCGTTTCACAACAAATTCAACCAAATTTAAAAGCCTTCACTAAGATGAGACCCTGCAGATGTTTTTCCTGTTTTATCTTCAAGCTTTATTTAAATTTTGCTGTTCGTTTGTTTGTTCGTATTGTTTTCAATGTTTTGCGACATTTTGTAATATTCAAGTATACTGCTAGAACATGGGTTACTATTTCCGACTTCATCCATTTCAATATTTTGTTGCCGGTCTGCAAAGGCTTTTCATGCTACTGGGTAGAGGGCTTTCTACTGCAGGGTAGGAAGGTTGGAAACCACTGCTCTAGACTGTCATTGCTGCCGTGTCGCGACGAAACCGTTATCTTATGGAGTCGACATTATCTGGCAACGCATACATTCCAATACCAATATATGAGGCGAAGGTGAATCTGAGTATTAATCTTGTTTCATATTATACATATTGCGAAAATGAAACATTTTAAATGTGATGTTGTCAGAGGTGATTTCACTTACAGTGAACATCAACAGGTATTTATAGACCTTTAATCTTATACACTTTCATCTCTCAACCACAATCCGTTATAATAAAAGATTGGAGAAAACAGCTGCGTCGTGTTTATCAGGATTGTTGTTTCACTCTCGGTCGAATGTTATTTTCCATTTTATCCGATTACCATTGAATTAAATTACCGATTTATTTTAGGAGACTTAGCGAAGCAATATTTCCTGTAAGCACCAATTATAATTTTGGAGTTACTTAGTCAGTATTTTTTTTTATCTTTGCAAAACAAATTACTGTTTTAAGCAGCATTTCGAAAGTGAGTCGCAGTGTTTACAGATCATGTTATATAATAAGATATTTTTTTTTTATCCCCAAACGAACGATCATTGCTATGTATAGAAGGCTATTACTGTACTCAATTTCATTTATATCTCTTTATTTGTCCTCATGAGGAAAAGCCGATCAGACGACTCAAATGTTGAGATACCACATTATTTCTATCACCGATTAAGGTTAAAAATAGCGACTGTATACGCGGTATACGTTAGTATCGATGGGATTTGCTTGGTCGACTGGTCGACCGCCTCGGTTGAGTCCGTCGAACTTATCGTCCAAGATTTTACCTGCAGTGGATTCTATGTAACCCCCTCTCGCAAATAGTAGTAAGCGTGCAATGGAAGTTACTAAGAACTGATGTATTTGTTCGGGGCCTTTATAATTATTTCCCCTTCAACATGAATTTCGCATTGTTAACAACTCTGCTAAACATAATTAACCAATAAATAACATGCAATGTTGCCGTTCAATGTGGGAGATGTGTAATACAACACTTGATGGTTTAAAAGGCAATGTATAGACCACTAACAACTGAATTTACGTTCGATATTATGAACGTGAATTAGCCTCGGTCCGTTGCCGTGTTTAGAAAGTCTGAAATGTCATTGTCACAGTCTGGAAAGTTCATTACAACTTGAGTGAGGTGTGTGAACATGAGCGCACTTGACAACTTGGCTTGTTTGATCTTCCTTGTATCACACTATTTTATGTTCGACGTTTTTTCCTCAATAAAATATTATTTTAGACTTCCTCATAGGTGACGTTGCTCGATGACCATTACTGGTTTATCACGTCTCCCGTCACACTGAAATGCATTTTTTCATTATCTTTTCTTATTCTCTGTGCACAAGGTGGATTTTCGGCATGTGTAAAAATAAACTACTAACTGACACCATGTTAGGGCGAAAATGGATTGACAAAACCAATACTTACGAGGAGGAAGAGATCGGCAGGATAAAGTGCATCCATCTGAACAGCATTCAGTGTTCGAGGGACAATTTCCTTGGCATTGATCAATGGCTTCGTCACAAGAGTCCAATAACGGGCGTGGTACGAAACATGTTGCGTCAATGTAATTGGTGTTAACTGAAAGATTCAATTGATTGATTAATTTTAATTAATTGATTAACATTTAATTGATTTAAAGATTTAATTGATTTTTAAATACCATATTTGTACGATTTCAATCACGGATATATATACATTCTGCAGCAAATCGTAATTTTTCAAACTAATTTTACGTTCTTCTCTAAAGCTAGCTCATAAGATGATAAAAAGTTTACATAGAATTGCAGTTTTACTAAAATTTCCATTTAATAATTCAAAATTGTAAAGGTTCATGAAATTATTAAGATTTTCGAGTTATTTAGAAAATATATCCTGGTTATTTTTGATTAGTAGATGACATCATTGACTCTATTAGAAAATTATTTACAAAATGTTCGAAGAAAAATATAATTTTAGACGACAATCGTTATTTTCTGAGTTTACTCCGATTTGCATCACTAAAACGAAATTGCAAAACACAATTTCAAACAAACCATTATTAATCTAAACTGCAACTTTACAAAGCAATACACCCGTTTTCAGGATGCCGTGATTGTTTATTCTTTTGAAGTTATATAACCTGCGAAAATTAGGTATCTACTATAACTATAATATTGTTCAATTTAACTTACCTTCATTGCAGTTGTCACCTTTGAATCCGGCTGGGCAATAGCACCTATTAACACCAGTCCCAAAGCAAATTTCGTTTGCATTTGCACATTTCGTGTTGCAATAAACCCCTAAAGATAGAATTACGATCGTTTATTTCGGATGAATAATATGATTCCAACAATAATTGTCCTGTCTAATGCTTGCCACTGGCCAGTACATTTCTCCTGGCGTTAGGTGGTATATAAATTAAGTTGTTTTTTTGGAATTCTTATTTTAAAGACTTCTAACATTTTATCGGGAGCCAACACCAAAGGGACAGACAGTCGGTGGTTCTCCCAACAAATCGAAAAGAAAGTGGAAGGTCAAAAATTTGGCTCGCATACACAAAACCTACAAATTGCAGAAGTGGCCTTTTTTAAAACAAAAAAAAATAATCCTATATCATCCTTATATTTAGAATTTATCAAATGAATTCAATATTGTTTTTTTCTGCGCCTCTCTTCTTTCTGAAAATCTAATTTAGTTTAATTCGCAATTGAGCTTGTCTGGTGTGTTAAATAACTGTGACAAAAAAAAATTAAAAAACAGCCTCAAACATGGTCAGTCAGGCGGAATTCTTTCGATTCTCTGAAGAATACTATTAGCATAAAAGCTTTGTCCACAAACTGTTAGCCCTATATTGTACTGACCGATCACCTGTTAGACCGACAAAAAGCACTGGCTAAAAGAATAAGATTGCTAACCAAACAAAACTTTGTTAATAACAGCACTAACCTGAGCCAGTTAATAATTGCCCATAGATAGCAACAGCAAACGAGAATAAGATCGCAATGCAGAAATATTTATCCATCTTGACAGAGTTTGGCGAAGCTGCACTCATCTCAATGACATCAGGAAGAGTCTGAACGCTAATTTGAATCGAATCATGCAGAATAAATTAGCCCTCAGGAAATGCGATGAAAAAAATGTGTTTTTATAAATTTCACAATTATTGACTAAGGCTACATTGTCGAAACAGTTGACTGGTTGGCGCAGGGTTTGCGAGTATGGAGAAATTAGTGTAGAATTATATAATTATATGATATCCAGGCCGGATAGCGAACAGTGTCAAAACAGCGACTGTCATAATGGCGACTTCATAATAGCGACGTAATCGAGTGAGCGACATTCAAAACAGCGACTGTCATAATGGCGACCGCATTAAAACAGCGACTGTTATGAAAGCGACTTAACTCGTGTTAGGGTTAGGGTTAGTCCAAATAAAATGTTGTTTTAAAGTCCCTTTTGGTTTCAATCTTTTACTACGCAGTGTTTGCCTGTTTGTGCGTGCATATGTGTGCGCGTAAGCCTTGAATTCAATAAAAGAAGTGATGTCGCTGTTGTGGCAGTCTCTGTTTTAAATGAATCGCTGTCGTGTAGTCGCTCTATTGACAGTCGCTGTTCTGACAGTCGCTTTTTGGAACCCTAGCCGAATTATATATATTTTCCGACCAGATTCCACCAACTATATTAGGAAACGGTGGGAGTTAGAACTTAGATATGTCAGTTTTGTCGCCATCCTGAAGCTGATGAAACAATATTGAATCCCTTCAATAGATTTTAAATATAAGGATGATTTAGGATTATTATTTTTTGTTTCAATAAAAAGGCCACTTCTACAAGCTGTAGGTTTTGCCAATCAAGACTATGCGAGCCACATTTTCGACTGTCAACCTTCAGATTTGTTGAAAGAACCACTGGCTGTCTGTCCCTTTGGTGTCAGGTTAAGCTCCCGAGAAAATATTAGGAGTCTTCAAAAAGAGTTATTTCAAAACAAACTCTAATTCTATCCCATCTAACGCCAAGAGAAAATTACTGGCTATCATCGTACAGGACAATTATAGTTGTGATCATATTATTCATTCCGAATAAACGACCGTATTTCCTATTTTTAGGAGTTTCTCGAAACACGAAATGCACGGATGCAGACGAAATTTGCTTTGGGACTGGTGTTAATAGGTGCTATTGCCCAGTCGGATTCAAAGGTGACAACTGCGAAGAACGTAAGTTAAATTGAACAATATTATAGTAGATACCTAATTATCGTAGGTTATATAACTTTAAAAGTATAAACAATCACGGCATCTTGAATACGGGAATATTACTTCGTAAAGTTGCAGAGTTTAGAATAATAATGCTTCCCAGTTTGAAATTATGTTTTGCAATTTAGTTTTAGTGATGCAGATCACATGGAGTAAACTAAAAAAATAACGATTGTCGTTTAAAATTATTCTTTTTTTCCGAACATTTTGTAAATAATTTTCTAATAAAGTCAATGATGTCATCTTACCAATCAAAAACACCGGGGATATATTTTCTAAACGACTCAAAATTCTTAATAATTTCATGAAATTCAACAATTTTGAATTACTATTTAATGAAAATTTCAGTAAAACTGCAATTCTATGTAAACTTTTTATCATCTTATGAGCTAGCTTTAGAGAAGAACCTAAAATTAGTTTGAAAAATTACGATTCGCTGCAGAATGTATATGTATATATGAATATGAATGTATATATATATATATATAATATATATATCCGTGATTGAAATCGTACAAATATGGTATTTAAAAATCGATCAAATCTATTTCTTATAATTACGACTTTCAGCCAACACCGATTGCATGAACGAAACATGTGCAGTACCACGACCGTTACTGGAATATTTTGACGAAGCCATTGACCAATGCCAAGGAAATTGTCCTTCGGACACTGAATGCTGTTCAAATGAATGCACTTTATTCTGCCGATCTCTCTCTCCTCGTAAGAATTGTTTTTCTCAATCTATTTTCGACCTAACCACTATGGCAGCCAGCAGTTTATTTTTACACATGCCAAAAATCCATATTGTGCACATTGAATAAGAAAAGATAATGGAAAAAAATGCATTTCAGTGTGAAGAGAGACGCGATAAACCAGTAATCGTTATCTAGCAGCGTCACCTATAAGGAAGTCTAACATCAAATTATATTGAGGAAAGTAATTCGAACATAAAATAGTGTTAAACAAGGAAGATCAGAAAAGTTGTCAAGTGCATCCATGTCCACACACCTTACTCGAGTTGTAATAGACTTTCCAGACTGTGACAATGAGCCTTCAGATTTTCTAAACACGGCATTTCCTTGTGTATGGATGATTAATTGCAGAGTCTTGTTAGAAACGAAGGTGTCAAACACCCAATAAGAAGCGTAAGAACGTTTTTGCGGAGAATGTGATAACACGAAATCAGCATAATTAAAGACCATTTGGGGTTAGGAATAATTAACAGGTGAATGAATGAACGTATCTTAGACGGTTAGCTGGTAAGCTCGACCTTCGAAACTCAGCCCACGGTTTTTGTTCCAAATGTATATCGCTTACTTTGCAAACAACGACGATCTATGAGATGAGAAGGTGAACGATTCCGTTTCCTTTCACAATATATAATTACTGAGCACAAATCCATGCTAATGATTTAAAAAGGACATTGAATTTTATTCAATAATTGGACATAGGAAATACAGACTGACCAAATTTTTTTGGTAGATAGTGCTGAACTTGTCGAATTAACTAACAATCGTGCCCGTCTCACTGGATGTAAATTTAATCGTTTCACATAAGTTACATTTGATTGCATGCAAAATACTTTTTGGACAGAAAATATGACTAGACTGATTCGTTAGCTCAGCTCCAATATCGAGCAAGATTTGAAGACGCGCACGCAGAGGATTCGGGAACTATCGCAACGGACGCGGCTATTTCGCGTTCATAATATCGAACGTAAATTAAGTTTGTAGTGGTCTATACATTGCCTTTTAAACCATTGGGTGTTGTATTATACCTCTCCCATATTAAACGCCAACATTACTTGTTATTTATTGGTTAATTACGTCCTGCAGAATTGTTGATATCGCGAAATTCATGTTGGAGGGGAAATAATTAAGGCCCCGAGCAAATATATCAGTTCTTAGTAACCTATATTGCACCGCTTACTACTATTTGCGAGTCATATAGAATCCGCTGAGGGTAAAAGCTTCGGAGATAAGTTCGATGGACTCAATACTAACGTATATCGCCTAGGCCCTATGGCCTATAGCAGTGGTTCTCAACCGCCGGTCCGCGGACCGGCAACGTTGCTGCCGGTCCGCCAAATATCTTTCTAATATTAATATATTAAAAGCAAATTTCAAAATACAAAGTATTGACGGCATATCCATTATTTTCATGATTTTTTTCCGAACTCTTATTGATTCGTAGTACCGTTATTCGTCTAACAACCAAACTTGGTTAGAAGTCCTCTGCCCATTTCAAACCCTGAACAGCTGGATGTTTGTTAAGCCTATGGCCTCATAACGGCGGCTAACGTCATAACGGAGGAGTTTGATAGCAGTTAGGGTTTGGGTTTTTATCAATTCTGAAAAAACATCCTGTTTTAAAATACATACTGTTGACATATTAAAAGTTTTATAGAGGTTGCAAAAACACATAATTGAAAAGTGATATCACAAAGTGTAGTTTAGAACAAGCCACAAGTAATACCCAATAACTCGGAGCCATTTTGAAAAATATTACCCTACGTCTACTGATTCCACCTACAGGGCTATCATATTAGTCCTAATTTTGCTTCGAATTGATATAATTTATGTATTTCGAAATTTAAAAATTCGGGTAAATATGTGAGTATGATGGCAGGATAAGTGACGATGAATATGAAAATAGGAATAAAATCGGAACTATGTGCAATAAAAGTTTTACAGAAGGAATTAAGTATGAATTTGAATATATCGCTGAGAAGCTTATAGCGCTTGAAATCAGTAGGACCGAAAAAGAGCTGCACCATGAACGTCTGGGTTTTAGAAATGGGAACAATTTGATAGGAGCCTATAGTGTTAACGATATCACAATCGTGGATTCGTGAGTAATGAATCTATTTTGTATTTGTATTACGCAGACCTTTAGGGTTATTTTCTCGATGTCTCGGAAATGTCGTGTTCCACGTGTCCCACTTGCTCCACGTGTCATACTTGTCCCAATGTGATGGTAATTGGCGTATAAGTAAATTATGCCTGATTGAACTATTGTAATTACTATTTATAAAAATATTTCGATACTGATATTCAGATAATATTTATTTCCTATTTGAATTGTAGGAGACAGACAGGATTAAATAGTTTTCTGCGAACTATGTTTACGGTGATCATTTTTTCAGATTGACGAACTGGTATTCCAGAACCTATTAAATTGATATATGTAGTGACTCATTTTCCAAGCGGGACACGTGGGATAACCCGGGCATGTAGGACAAGTGAGATACGTCCGACAAGTGGGACACTGCAGGCGGCAAATTGGACAAGTGGGGCACATGGGAAAAGTGGGACAATTCGAGCGAAAAAATGTGGCACGTGGCACAATTGGGAGGGGGGGCAAATGAGATACATGCCACAGGTGAGACAACTGTGACGAGTGGGACGCGACATTTTTAAGACGCCCTTCTTTTTTCTGCGACAATGGGACATGCAGGGTTGGGTCTATACTGCGATCTTTGAAGTGATTGCTATTGAATTTTACTCGATCGTTGAGATTCTTCTATCTGGTTATGCTCTACATCAAAATATTGTACTGCTCTTTATCTACAGACACAGAGAAAAGCTCCAATTGAAAGAGAAAAATAATTGTAACAATCGTACATAATTATAAAACGTGAATCAGAGTTTAGGATGGGACTCTGAGGCATACGTGATGAAAAGTTGTTCGGTTCTGCGAGATAAGTGACTGCGATCGATTTCTTCTGACTTCGCAGAGTACATTGGTATAAAAAGTGTATAAAATTACCAAAGAAGTGTTACGCTAAAAGGAAACAGTAAAATATTTTGTGGAATATCAGGTCCGTAGACTAGGAGTAAATATAAATGTAATAACTTTCCTTGTCGGCTCCTGCTGTTGACCAACCAAGTTTTGAACCAATGTGCCTCAATGCTTTCGCTCTAGGGTTGCCAACTTTGTGTTAAACC